CAAAAATTATCGTCCTCCCCTCAGTGGCTAGGATGAGAACAAGACAGTAGACCTGAACAGGAATGAAGGACTTATGTGGGAGTTAGGCCAGATATCCCTGGACCAACCAATAGCAAAGATGCATATGTGACCAGTAGAGAGACGACCAGCAGGACTACCAGGGACCAGTCCATCCAGTGTCCCCAGTGGCGGAACAGGAATCTGTAGAGGGTAAAGGAAGGTGTTCAAGGGGAGGAGGTGACCTGAAGGGAGTTGGAAGTTGAGGTGGCTAGATCTAGGAAAATAACTAGATGGGAGTGAGGGGAAAATGTTTCATAGGGTCAAAGTCTCCAGGGATTGGAGAGGTTTCTTGGGGGGAATTTTCTAAGGAGGTTGGGAATGCTGGGCTTCAGGGGCCATGTAGAGCTGGGGATGACTAATAGCAGGGGCTGAGCATGGGGTAGGAAGGAGGTTGGCGGGTTTGTGGAGAACAGGGTGGATGGTATGTGACATACTCATTGAAGTTGTGCAGATCATTGAGAAGGACGAGCCCAATGTACAGCCAGCCCAGGGACAAGAGGAAGGTGAGGAAGAGCAGGCCAAACCAGACGCAGTCGCACTGTGAAGCGGCAGGAGAGAAGCTGATCCCCATTTCATGATCAGAAGCCCCAGGGATGGCAGCTTAGCTTCCTGCCCTGCACTGAGCTACTCTTCCTGTATTCGAGGGAGATTTTCTTCCTGGGGAGACAGAACCCCTTCCTCCCAGCTGCCTACGCATACAATCAGTCTCCATAGTCCCTCCAAGCAGCCTTTGTCTTCTATCCCAAAGCCTGCCCCATCCCTACTCTACCTTGCTGGTCTGCATCCTCTGCTTGGGACATTTCTTCCAGTGGCAGCTATAGAGGCAGTGGAGACAGCGGGTCCAGATGGAGCAGCAGCCAGGAGACTCGGCCATGATGAAGGCCTGGGGAAGGGACACGACCACCAGGGAACACTGAGAGAGGACAGATCTCAGCCTCCCTTCCCAAGTATCGGAGGAGCCTGGGGCAGGTAGGCACATGCCTGGGCTGCTACTCAGCAACAGGGTTTGTTGTCACAGGGCAGACCCAGAGCCCTGGGTTTGATGAGGTGACTGGCCCCAATCCTGGAAAAGAGGCACTGTTTCCGAATCTTCCATTGGCCCTGATTTTTGATACCTGGGAAGTCAGTGGTCCAGCCTTTTCTCAGGCATAATGTGTTCCCAGCCTCTCCAGCTCTTTTCTGTTTAATGACATCCAGATCTAGAGTTGGACTGCTTGCCCAGAGTAATTTAGGAGAAACTGCCCCAGGGTGGGGCAAGCTCAGTTCAGCGAGTTAAGGCAGACCTGACTGAGCTTGAGGCAGCCCAGTGCTGCCTTCCACCCCAGGAAGCCGGAGTAACCTGAAGCAGAGGTTTCCATTCTGACCCTGGGCTAAGGGAGGCACAGCAAGTTGACTGGTTGCTATGGATACGGAGATTGTACAAACCACAAAGCCCTGACTGAAAGATTCTCTGTGTCCACTTCCCAGGGGTTGAGGGCACTGCTAATAAGAGGAAGACTGGAGGGGAGCTGGTTGCCTGGATCCCTTACACTCAGGCTTTAAAGGAGCTCCTTTCCTGCCTGCACAGTCCAGACAATCCCAGTGCCTGCACTCTAGCCTTGTCCTTCCCTGCACTGTCATCATGTGCAGTCACCCTCCAACCCAAATAGAAACCCAGCTCTCATCCTCCCCGTCCCAGGGGCCCCGCCCTCTCAGTTATCCTTAGTCAAAGCGTAATACACACAGGGCAAAGGTGCATGTGTGCATGCCTGCATGTGCATGTGCGTGTGTGTAAGGGTGGTGGCGGCGGCAGGGGAGTTGTCTTGCAGCCGGGTATTCCTGTACCTCGTGGTTCTGAGTATGGCCGAGACTAAGCTGATCCACAAACTGGGCTGGGCTTGTGACTGGGATTCTACATGAGAAGATGTACAGTTTGTAGCAGGTGAGAATTCTACTACTGAATCACCAATGAAAGCAGGGTGTGATTGTGTGTGATGTGTCAGCATGTGTACATGTGTGTGCACTAGTGGCTGCCAGTATAAATGGGTTTCAAAATGACTGACAATGTAAAGAAACCCCTGGCTAATCTGCCTGTCTGTCTTTGTCTCTCTTGTCTAACTGTCCTGTACAAAGGGACAGGGCCCCCTCATTCACTCCAGGAGTTTTAAGGGGTACACAGTGTGGGGGGTCCGGCAAGGAGGAAAGGTGAGTCTATTCTTGAAACTGCCACCTTACTCTAAGTTCCCCTTGCGAAAGGAGAGTCTGTCTAGGGACTGGAGGGGTGAGGCCCGGGGAAGCAGAAAACCTTAACTTTATGGGCCCATTTCCCTGATTGCAGTCAACCCAAAGGGAGGCCCTTGTGTCTTCCCGTCCTGGAACTGAGCACCAGGACACACTCCTTTCTGCCTCCAGATTCCCAGAGTCTACCTCCCTCCAGAGCTGCTTGGAAGATGGGATCAGGATCTGGTCAGTCTGAAAGACCCGGAGCAGGGAATTTGACAGGGTGCTGCCTTACCCACTGGACCCCATCCCCGCCGGGTTGAGCAGGTCCTCACTTCCCGGCTCCCACTGGTTGCCCCCAGCCTTCCCGAGCCCTCACACCTTTTTTTACCCAGGGAGCGCGCAGCTCTGCTTCCCAGCTCCTCTCCGAGTGGTCAGCCTCCTCCCTCTTGCAGTCCACGGCTCGACTTCACTGATCAAACAGGTGTCACTGTTGCCACCTACAGGAAGAAGTGTGGGTCCTCTTGGAAGGGCTGCAGAAGCTCTGTGGCAGGAGCCCAGTCACGGTGGGAAGACGGGCGCCAGGGAGTGGGAAAGGAGGTCGGCTTCTTCACTCTCGGGAGCTGGCGGTCAGGGGGCTTGGTGTGAGGAATTCCTTTGTGCAGCCTTCCCCATCCCTCTGTCCCTCCTCCTGTTTCCCTCCCAGTCACTGCCAGAGGGCTTTGTCCTGGTTCTAGGAGGAGAGGGCTGAGGGCATAGGCGGGAGGGAAGCTGGGGGAGGTGAGCACACAACTTTGTAACTTGGCAGTGAGAAGGGGCCCTGCCAGTCCCCGGGAAACTCTTGAACATATGAGGAAGTCTAACTTCAAGCTTCCTGGAGTACAACTTCCAATCATTAGTTTCCCTTTCCTCTTGGGCTATTTGCACTTTTGCAGGGCCCATCTATGAGATGCTCTTGAAGTGATTTTATGAATTCTGGGCAGCAAGTTGCTCTGTTTCTGGACTAGTGGTCCCTGTGGATGTATTCAACAGCCCTCACGACACTGCACGTAAGATGCTCATTCAGGATATCGGGCTTGCTGCCTTGTTTACCTGAACATTGAATCATTTCATAAATTGCTCGCTTTAGGAGTGTATAGACTTTTGGCAGATGAACATGTACAAAAGGAGCAGTTATTCCAGCATCCACAGGAGGTGGTCTGGCAAGTTGTGGTCAACTTAGTATAAAGCATAGAACCATATAGAGCTTGGAGGGGCTGACAGACAGCTCTTGATTGTGACTGATGCAGTGACTTGGGGATCTGTGCATTAGCACTGTTGGGGTGTTGGTGGGAAAGGATGACTTGTTACAGATAAACTGGCTTCCCCTCCCCCTCCACACATTCAATTTCAACCAGTGAAGGAGACTGGCTCTCTTCTGCCAGGAGCTGGTCCCCTCCCTCCCAGCTTTCCCATTGTATCCAGAGGCTCTAGTTGGCAATGACAGAGACTCCCTAATTCTCTCAGAATTAAAATGCAAAGAGAAGCAAGGCGGTTTGCTGGCAGGAAGCCAGGGAGGGCAGCGGGTCACCTAGTCCTCCATTGGGAGTCATTCTTGGCAGGTTGTTTTTCAATTTCCTTTCTTTGCTTGGGTTGTGTTGGATTCTAGAATCTTGTATGTGGGGATGGTTTGTGAGCTTTTAGGAGCAGAGAGGGTGGAGGGACAGAACAGAATTCAGTATACATTGATATGAGTCTCGAGGTTTGCAAACTCCTAAAAGGCTTCAAATGCACCCTGTATGTGGCACCGTCAGCCACCCCCTTCCCCCACTTCTAGCTTTTCATTGGAGATGAGGAATCTGATGAATGGTAAAAAGTAAGCCTTGTCCCTCCTCTCCCCTTTCAAGGGAGAAAGCAAGGGGTCAGTAGTTTTGTTAACTGAAAAGCAGCATGGTGCCATACCCATTAATCAGATTGTAGGGAAAGTCATCTAATAAATGTTGTGTTGTTCCTCATGGACATTGTAACATTATATTGACTGCTTCTCTGTACCTCAGTACTATCTGTGTTAGACGACCAGTATCTCCCAAAGACTCGTGTGTTCAAGGTTTGTTCTCTGGCCTGTGGTGCCATTTGGGAGGTTGTAGAAACGCTGAGGTAGGTTTTTGTGCAATGCTTTTAGTATACTTGAGGGTATGCTCTTGAAGAGGTGATGGGACCCAGATCCTTCCACTAGTTTTTTTCATCCTGGCCATGAGGTGAGCAACTTTGCTCCATTGTGTGCTTCTGTCATGATCTGATATGGGCGAGAACCATAGCATAGGACCTCCAAAACTGTGAACTAAATTAAAACCACTTTCTCCATGAACTCATTATCTCAGGCATCTGCTCTAGTATGGTAAAGATGACACTCTATTTTCTCATATGGAAAGTACAGGCTCCTAAGAACCTTGAACATTTTTGCGAGAAGCAACTACAATTATGGCAGGAATGTGGTGATGGGGATGCTCACTAGATGAGAAGACACCTGTTTTGTCAATGTCATTCATACTTCCTAGAGCAGCAAAACAGCAGAGACGCAACAAATGTTCTACACCAGTCTCTAGGGAAGGGTAGGAAGCTGGGTCAGGGTGTAGTTCAGTGACAGTGGCATGTCCAAAGCCCAGTGTCAATCCCTATCCCTGTAAACAAAACAAAACACCAAAAACAAAACAAAAAACTAGGCAACCTTCCCAGAAAAAAGAAGTACTTGAACTTGTGGGGAAATTGTAATGGATCTCTTTAATAGTTTTCCCAGGGGCCTGAGGAAAACAGGTTGGGATTTCATTTCTTTCTCTAGCAAAGAAGGATCTCCTTTAGAAAGTAGATCAGCTAAGGTTTATTTATTTTCTTAACATTTAAAAATGTTTCATTCACTTCAGTAACATGACAGCTGAAGGTTCTGTTAAAATCCAGAGTTGGATTGGAGCAGGAAAACTCCCAGTCCCATTCCTGAGATGCAGTGAGGGAGTTGGGCCAGGTTTAAATCCTGCACGAGGCTCCCCCATTAAGTTGCTATGACCATGAGAGAGGAACATCTTGGCTTCAGCTCCATGAGGAGACAATCAACTTCTCACAAAGAAAGAGCTAGACTATGCTGGGGACTGGTGCCTTATGAGTCACGAGGAAGGTTTGCTGGTTCTCTCCAATAGATGGTTCAGCACCTTCTGGAGAAGAAAAGTAGTTGTTTGGGGTTGGAGGGCTTAGACAGTAAAGGCCAACATTCAGCAAAGGTCTTCTTCCTTTCAGTGACAGTTTTTTCTTCTCTCAATAGCAAGACCTATTACTACACAAGTCATTAGTGCCCTTCCCCTCTGAGCTGCAGCCTGAGAGTGTGTCCATGGCAGACAGAAGAGAGAGACGATGACATAACCTCAGTGGGACTCTTCTTGGATAGGAGAACAGCCAGAGAAGAAGCTGGTGTTGCTAGCTAGAGCTCGCTTCTTTTTCTTCCCCATGGCCTTAATTTCTTGTGATTCTGAACATTTCAGTTCTGGGTGGTCAGAGGAAGGAACTAAGGTAGGCCTCCTCGGCAGCACCTGATCTTCATCAGACATCTTTAGGATCTAGAAAGATAGACAGAAATGAACAGATGGGCCCAGCCAAGACTCTACAAAGGCTCTGCACATCCCAAGTAACCCTACAACTGTTCCACCAGATAAAACACTCCAGCCACTGTTCAGCAATTTGATTATATCTTCCCCACAGCTATCTCTCATAGGTTTCTATCATATCCAATCCAGAGAAGAATATAGTTTTTTCATGTCTCCAATTTAGCCACTCACCTTGCTATTGGGAGTTGCACAGACAGGGTTGAAGAAGGTTAGTTCTGAGGTCATCTCTGTGGGATCTTCCAGTTTGAAGGAGTTTTCAGAATCCTGGGTTTGCTCAATAGCATCTGAGTTATCCTGAAATCAAGCAGACAGGCTTATTCTAATGTAGCTCCCTGAGTTACAAAACAGCCTGTTCCTCTTCAGTCAGGGAGGTCCCAGCTCTGAGGACCTGATCAACCCATTACTCAAAGCAAACCTAAGGGAGCTGGTATTTGGAGAAGCTTAACAAATTCTGTCCCCAGAGGAATGAAGTTATGCTTAAAAGGCAGACTCCCTAAACAGAGAAACCAAAAAAAGAAAACAAAACCAAACACCTTCAACTTAAGGCAAATTTTAGGCTGGGTGGTCATAGCACATATTTTTTATCCCAGCATTCCAGAGGCAGGCGGATCTCTGTGAGTTCAAGGCCAGCCTGATCTATAAAGGGAGTTCCAGGACAACCAGGAATGTTACACAGAGAAAACCTGTCTCAAAAATACAACAAGAAGGTCCTGTGCATGTTTAGAATGAGACATATGATGAAGGAAACTTTAAAATTAGGTCAAGTTGGGTGTGCTGGTATACATCTGTAACCCCAGAATTTGGGAGGCTGGGGCAGAGGAATAACAGGTTGATCCAACCTGGGGTACTTAGCAAGACCTAGTCTCAAAGAAAATAAACAATAAAATTAGTCCATGCCTTGGCTATTTCTTCAATTAAAGTTCTTGTACATACAATCTGCAATAGCAGCCCTACAGGAGGCTCCCTGCATTAGTATTTATTTCGGCAAAGAATATAAAACGCAAAGGACCGAAGTCACTTAGATCACAAGGTGACTCTGCATAGATCTGGGGTTAAAACTGGAGCTATTGGTTGAAGAAACAGCTGGATTGAGAACCAGGAAGCCTGAGGTTTAATCTTAGTTGTCAGGACCAGCTGTGTATCAGACAAGTCACTTCAGTTTGCCACTCGATTTCAGTTTTCTCTTCTGCACAATGGAATCCTTGACTCTATTCAGTGGTTTTCTTTAACTGAAATTCTAAGGGGAGGCCCAATATGAAAGGTAAGTGAAGAGAAAATTGTTTTGGTGGAAATGGAATTCTAAAGGCAGAGACCCTTTCACGGGGCAGCTTCAGGGTGCTAGAACCCTAAATGAAAAACCATGAGAACAGGGAACTCTTTTTTATTACTTTAATTTTAAATAGCTTGCTTCACGTGTCAATTCCAGTTCCCTCTCCCTCCCCTCCTCCCGCACCCCTCCACCATCCCCCCCAGCCTCCCATCCTATCGCCATTTCCTTCCACATAGGGGATATCTAGAGTCTGTCATTTCACTCAGGGCAGGGTCCAGGCACTCCCCTAAGAGTCCAGGCTGAGAGATCATCCCTCTCTGTGTTATGGACACACGATGTCTGTTTGTATGCTAGGGATAAACACTGATCCACTGCTCAGGGCCCCATAGGTTGCCCAGGCCTCCTCACTGACTCTCACATTCAGGGGGTCTGGATCAGTCCCATGCTGGCCTCCCAGCTGTCGGTCTGGGGTCCAAGAGCTCTGCCCTGAGAACAGGGAACTCTTAAAGGCCTCCATAAGTTTTATCCTGACCTATACATAGGTTGCCACTTTAGTCCTCTGATGCTTACTTAGTTTAGAAGTCTTTAAAATAAAAGGCCCAAGCCCAAACTATCCCTGTGTAAAAAATGTTCACAAAACGCCATGATGAATGTTTATTACAGTACACCTATAGCAGTTCTGTATTATGCATCAAGAGCTGTGACAAAGATTTGTTGCCATGGGCACAAGCAGGTATACAGCAAGTACAGGGATTGATTCTGCTTTTTGCTATTTTCAGGGCACATTTTGTTTCCCCGAGTTTGCTCTTCCTGGGAGCAACATAAAGACAGCTACAAGTTATGTTGGCTCACAGCAGTGACTAGTAGACTAGATTCCTGTGGGTCTTTCCTTAGAGACATGGAATGCTTGGTTCCCATAGGGTCTATTAACTAGTGTCTCCAGATACCAGAGGGATTAACTTCCTTTCTGGAAGCAGCCATCATTAGTGCGTGGCTTTCACAGTTCCAGCTAAGCCTCTGGACTAGTTTGATCCTGTGTCTCTACCTACCTGTAAATTCTTGCTTTCCTGTTCCATGTTCCTGTTTCTGAAAGCATGCAGAAGCTTTTTAGACGAGGCTGGGGGTAGGGGTGGAGACTGCATACCTGAGGAGTGAAATGTCTCTTTCTGGGTACAGAGGAGGAAGTGTAAATTGCAGGAGATTCCAGGTTTCAGGGTGGGAAGAAGAAAAGGATAGAAACGCTGGAGAGGTCTGAGGGGATGGTGAGAGGAGGCAATACTGATCTTACCTGGCTCTGCTGTCTGTTGCGACACTTTGCGGGGTCACAGCTGCAGGCCACGTTACAGTCTGACCTTTGCTTTCTGCACCCACATTGCTTGTTGCCACACCAGCCTTTGCAGGAACACTGGAAAACAGGTTTGTGGAGAGACACCTTACCAAAAGGGTGAGATTCTAAAGTACCGTTCCTTCATATGCAGCTCTTTTCAGAAACAAAGGAAAGGGACACCATCTCTATTGAATCAGTCTTTTCTAATCCCTCATTTCATTTAACCATGACCACTAGGAACCACCAGAGGGTAACTAAGCAGGTTATATCAAACAACTAACTGTTCTATTTTAGGTAGTATAGCTGCAGATAGATAAGAAGGCTGTCCTATCACCCTCACATGACAGTACTGGGTAAACACTAGTCACAATTTCATGGGCAAAGACCCACAGGCATCATGGCAGTACCATTAGGCTTATTTAAGGGCTCAGTCAAGTTGTTCTGCAGGGAGCCTGTCCTGGAACTCATTCTGTAGACCAGGCTAGTCTCAAACTCACAGATATCCGCCTGCCTCTGCCTCCTGAGTGCTGGGACTAAAGACATGTGCCACTACCACCGAGCCTTTAAAATGTATATCCCAGGCTGGCAAATCCTACTGGTATGCGCCACCATGACCAGCATTCTGCATTTTTTGATCTACCCAACTGTACTTCCTTTCAATGCACATTGCTACATTTTGTCCAGTGTCAGCTGGAGCTTTGTCCTGAGCACTAACTCATCTTCAATATCACTAAAGATAGGAAATAAAATCATTTATATTTGAAATTACACACACACACACACACACACACACACACACACACACACACACACACAGAGAGAGAGAGAGAGAGAGAGAGAGAGAGAGAGAGAGAGAGAGAGCCAGTTTACAAGGTAGACTTGTTTATCCGTTCTAACAATGGCTGAAAAAAAGTTGGAAAAATGATTAATCGGTAAGATAACAAAAACCACAATCTAAAAATATTTTGACAGGCTGGAATTGTAGGCTGAAAGTAGAAATGATACAATAGAGATAAATTCAAGATCAACATCAAGTTCCCCCAAATCAGCTGTATAAGTACAATATATGGAGATCTAACTTTGAACCTTTGAACTACTCTGCATAGCAGGGCAAGACAGCCCAAACCTTTAATCCCAGCCACTATGAGGCAGTTAGTCAACCCAATCTACATGAAGAAGTCCAGGCCAGCCTAGGCTATATAGTGAGACCCTTTTAGAAAACCAAGACAACACCCCCCCCCCTTGAATTCCCCAAACAAAAAATGAATCCAATAGTCTCGTGGTTAATGAGGTCTGAACCATAGCTGTTTTTTTCCTAGTCACATCTGTGGACTCATCCTAAGTTTATAATAAAATTCAAGATCTTAAGTGCTTTTCATATAAGAACTATCATCTTTGTTCTGTAGCTATATAGGAAACCCACAATAGTATCAAGAGAATAATGTATATCATTCTATAAAAATTTAAAGCCCAAGTCATGATTTTAAAAGTTATATACAATATTCCATCATGTAGATATGCCATTTATTTAACCAGTCCCCTAATGGTAGATATGAAGATAGTTTTGAAAGAAAATATTTGCTTTTACAGATCGTGAATGTCCTTGTACACAAATGGAATCTAAACCATACATACAGGCAAGGCACTCTAAATCTGGCCTGACTACACCTAACTTCACCTTTCCCACTTCTCAACACATGATAGTCACAATGGCCTTCTCAGGTATGTAAAGCCCATTCCTGCCCTGAGGTCTTTTCATTTGTTCTTCCCTTTTCTCCTCTCCTTCATTCTCTCTTCTCTCACTTTCTTTTTTGTGACTTAGGCCTTCATTACACAGCCCGGGTTGGTCTCGAACATGTGATTCTTCTGCCTTAGCCTCTAGAGTGCCAGGATTATAGGTAGGTACCACTATACCTGGCGCTTTGCTTAGATCTCATCATAATTATCTGTTTCCCAAACAGCCTTTCCCCTCCCAATCATCTCTATGACTTCACTATGGAGTTTGTTTTCTCCTAAATCACCACCCACAACTATTTTGTTTTTCTGGTTACTATATCTTTTCCTACAAGAATGTGCTCACAATGACAAAGTTAATTGTTGTATTCTCAAAAATAGTGTTCATTCCTGGCACAAAGCTACTTAGAAAAGATTCATTGAATGAATACAGCAATTTCCATATTGATGACTATTTCCTTTGTATGAATTACTATGTGAGTAATTACTGGATCAAAGAATAAGAACACTTTTAATATATGTGCTACTGAAAGTGAAGCATGATGAGAGTATTTTTCAATTTTCCGATAATATGTTCAGGTTGCTTTTCAGAATAGGTATAACCAATTTATATTTCTAATAGCGTTAGATAAGAATGTTCATCTTAGTTGGGCGTTGGTGGCATACGACTTTAATCCCAGCACTCGGGAGGCAGAGGCGGGTGGATGTCTGTGAGTTCAAGGCTACCCTGGTCTACAGAGCCAGTTCCAGGACAGCCTCCAAAGCAATACATAGAAACCCTGTGTCGAGAAAAATAAAAATGTCCATCTTAGTCATTTTATCAACAAGATACATCATAATAAATTTAAGACTCTAGAGATCCCCATGGAGGGCCTCACACTCCCTGGGGATCAGAGTGGGATTGGGTGGGGGCCTAGGGAGCCTGGTGGGGGGGGGCGGGGCAGGAGGGGAGGGAGAGGGAGCTGGGATTGACATGTGAAGCAAGCTTGTTTCTAATTTAAATAAAAAATCCCTTTAGCTACTTTGAATAAGACAAGCAAATATAAGAGTTCTATGACTTGTTTTACAGATACTTTTTCAGAATGGCCTTGATCCATTATGGTATATTGGGTCCTTTGCCCATTTGTGAGTCATCTAAAGGTTTCAAAAATGCTTTCTTTACCCTGTCAACATTTCTCTGTTTTATCACATGGGATAATACAAATGATATCTGAAGAACTGTCATGGGTGATTGGACTTTTTCATAGCCAAGAGCCAGTGAAATGATTTATAGAAATGCATGCTTCACACATACAAGGAACACTTTCTAAAATTCAATAGCATGCACTAGCTGGCTGCCTTTGAGCCCGTGGAGTCTGCTTTTGCTAGTCTTCAAGCAAGCAGACACTAGAGACAGGCATTGAGTACTTGTGATGGTAGAGCTGAATGAACATGCTCATGAACACTTGATAGATGTAGCCACATGAAAGTCATATATAAAAGCTACACCTTCATCTTATTCTCTCTCATTCCAGGAAGCAGATTAAAATACCAAAGAAGGCCTTTGACACAACTATATCAAAACTGCTGGCAACCTACCAGCATATCTCAAGAAATAGCACAGATGGGGAAGACTCCTAGGTTTGTCAGTTCTCAGGTCTTACTATACATGAGAAATCTCTGCAGGGGCTAGAGAGGTAGCTCAGTGGTTAAGAGTGCTTGCTGCTTTTCCTGAGGACCTGAGTTCAGTTCCCGGCACCCACATCAGGTGGTTTACAACCACTTATAACTCCAGCTCCCAGGGCTCCAACGTGCTCAAGCATCTGCACACATGTGGTATTCACCCACACACCCACACAAATGTTAGCAAAAAGAAATCTCTGGAGAAGTTTTCTAAAACTCCAAGCCCTGCCTTACCTCAACTCAATCAGAACATCTACAGGTAGAGTTCCTGGTTGTATTTTAAAGAGCTCCCCTGAGGAAAACTACAGTTAAGCATACCGTTTTACAGTCTGTAACTCTAGTAGTAAGTATAGGATGTCTCAGAAGAATAGATCTGGTCAAATTTAAAACTCAAAGAATAAAGAACAATAATGCTGATATATTAAGCTTTCCCAAGAACAAGTGTATCCATATTGTTTCATACCTGCAAACTCCTTTCCAAAGGGTTCAGGCCCTCTGTTCTTTTGTTCCTGTGTATGCTTCTGAACTGTCTCTGTAACTTAGATGGCTATTTAATCTACATTAAGCTAGCACTGTTACTTCAATCATAATGGTATAAATGTTGGTTGAGGAAATAAACAAAAGACAGACATTTGGGGCTAGGGATATGCCTTTGTAGTTAAGAATGCTTGTTGCCTTTGCAGAAGACCTGGATTTCATTCCCAGCACCCAAATGGTGGCTCACAACCATATGTAACTCCAGTTCTGGGAGATTTGACGCCCTTATCTGACCTTCACAGGCACCAGGCATGCATGTGGTGCCCATACATACATGCAGGGAAAACATTACACATAAATACATCTAACGTTATAAGACAGCCATGTCCTGCTTCATTTTGTCTAAGTATCCCAGCACTCTGCTTCTAGTCTTAGCAATCTATTATTTATTGTGCCAGAAGTGTTCTCCCTCTTGTCCTCAACACTATCTTTGCCTTTCTACCTTATCCTGCAGCAACAGTCACCTCCTTCAATGTCATATCCTTAATCTGTACCTCTTCTGGTTGCTTCTAAAAACCCAAATCCTCCAATTATTTTTCCTGAGATGAATGTACTGAAGTTCTAGATATGCTTCTTTCTATCCCTTTGTCTTGATTCTTCCATTAAGTTATAAATCTCTGAGGGCACAGTGTGTTGCATTGTTGATGTTGCTACCTGACCAATAACATCACCTGGCTGTTTGTTCCTTATGGTCTGCTTCACTTTTGACTTTACAAAACTGGCCAAATCAAGTCTGCTTCCAGAAAGCCACTAAGTTAAATTAGGAGCCATTCTCTTAAGAATGGCGGTGGCTACAAAACACAGGTGGACTAGTGATGAAGCATAGTATTTTGGAAATTAATGTTTCAGCATGAAACAGCTGTATTTAGCAATTACGGTGGACTAGCATTGTGGAAGTAAATAAAGTACACATTAAAGTCAGAATGGTTTTTAGGTGGGCATGGCATTGCAAGCCCAACTGTAATTTCAGCACTCAGGAGGTGGAGGTAGGAGGCATAGGTGTTAAACATCATCCACGGTTACATAGTGAGTTCAAGTCTAGAATGGGATATATAAGGCACCATCACTATAACAAAACAACAATGCCTCCCAAGTCAGGTTATTCCTAATTCTCCTTAATTTGGCATGTTTGTTCTTAATTATTATCTTTTTCTATAATTCCATTTGTTCCTTAGCATAGTTAGAAAAAGAAAAACATCCTAACAGGTAAGGAAGATAAAGCAGCCACTCAATTTCTGGCCCAAGTTTTTTGTTGTTGTTGTTTTGTTTTTTTCACTAATGTGATCACCAGAATATGATAAAAAAACAAAGTGGACCTGGGAGTCTAAACACTAAATTTCAAGTATTGACTATCACTTGTTTTGGTGACCATAGACCAATTCACTTTCTTCTTGTGGGTCTGAAGCCTATCTGTAAACAACAAATACCTCTCAGGGTTTTTTTTTTGTTTTTACAATTATTCAAAGATGATGTGTGAGGATGGTTGTTTAAACTATAACAAGTGCTATACAACATGGACTGGAGTGATCACTTGGGAATCAGCTTCAGTGTAATGGTACAGAATGCTAGCTATTCAGATTGCCACAATCCTGAAAAATCAAAGTGAGCCAGCCAACTTGAATGTTCAGGTGTGTCTGCTGCCCTCAGAGTCCACACAGCGGTAGTCCGACAAGTGTCCCTTAGAGCCAATGCTCTGAAGGGGATCCAGGGAGTTCAGATGTAGGGCAACAACCAATTTGACATTCACAAGCTAGCCCACTGGAGCTAATTGTCATGAGTGAAATTAGAGAGTTGGCTCATACCCCTTGGTTGTTCTTCTTGGACACCTTGACTAATTTTGGTGGTACCCACTCCTCATCAGCACAATCATCACTGCCATCATTCTCCTGCTCAGTCACAGAATGCTCTGAACAGTTCTGTAGCTCCTCGATATCCAAGATTTCCTCTGGGCCTTTTTCTTTAATTCGGCAAGGTTTGGGCTACAAAAAATTGAGATAGTTAAAAGTTTTTGAAAACTATGTATGGCATGGTATCATCTCACTAACTATTGCCAGCAGTATTTACAGAGATTTCAGACTTCTCAAATATATTCCACTTGGTTTTGCTAATCACAAAAATTCTGCTTTAGCCTTTGGCCTTGGAGTCTTTGAAGAGCTAGAAACTGGAGGCCGATCAATCTGAGGGAGGGAGAGAGGACTCATGGTTTAATAAGATAAGCATCTCTGGATGGACAGCTGAACATTGCTCTCTTCTTTTTAGCCATGTTATATAATAACTGCATCATCAACCACAATTAGCCTTCTGAGGAAGCTGAATGCCTATTTACCTTAGGATTGTATTCTAGTTTTATTTTGGCTCCTTACTCTCATAGCCTTTTACAAAAGACAGGTTTAGTATACTCACTCAAACCTGAGCTACACAAAGGTATCATAGACACCTGGACATCTTACCTTAGGTGGAATATATTCAAAGGAAGAATCTGGAGACTGAAGGATATTTTTCATAAGATGGGTTTTCTGTGTGCTGGCTACTTGGAGGAGGGCCAGTTTCTGTTTGAATAGCAGAGACAAAATAGATAATGTTAGGGCACATTTTGGGAGCATTTATGGCTAAACCAGATTCCAGACCTATGCTATCTTCCTTGTTTATCACAATAAAGCGAGGCTGGGTGGCAGTAGAGTACTCGGAGGACTCTCACTTTCTAAGATCACTATTAGATTAAGGAGGGGTTTGTTTCTGTGAGGATACATAGTAAGATAGGGTCTTACTATGTATCCCTGGCTGGCTTAGAGCTTACAGAGATATGCCTGCCTCTCCCTCCTGAGTGCTGGGATTAAAAGTGTATACCACCATGTCAAGCAAAAACTTGGGTTTCTAACAAGTTTGAAATGCATATGAGTGGATTACATGAAAACTCAATAGAGAACCTCACAAACTTGGGCTAAATGTAGTTATCAAAGCTGAGGACTGCTTCCAAGGGCTAGCTAGCCTCAGTGGCAACAAGGGTTTCCTGAGATTTATCAAGTGGGTGAAAAGTCATCTTACCTGCTTGATGGCATTGTTTTCTTGGAGAAGCTGCTGATTCTGCTCACACATTTCTTGCATCTTCTTAAGCTCTTCATCCTATTTCCAGATAGCATAATTATAGGTGGGGTTATTTTGGGTCCTACATATGAGTTACCAAACAACTCAGGTGAAAACACTGCTTTCAAGTGGCTGGTACATGATTGGATTTTAACAGCAGGCAGACACACAGTAAAATGCCTCATTCCTTGTTCCTAGGTATCCTGAATACCTTACATTTCAGTATTCCCCAGTATCCCTGAATACACTTGCAGGGAGTAAGCTTTCTTATCCTTTCCCATTCTCATAGCACCTATGCACATCAGCATGCTGGTTCAGAAACATGCACAGATTAGTTCTTCCCTGAAATCTGCAGGTGCTTCTGTATACCCTTCTCATATAGGCTGGCGAGTCTGAATGCTACTCTAACAAGCCTGGCTAAACTTGCTTGCACTTAAGGCAACTGAATTCTTTATAACTTTAACTTGTTTGGTTATGTCTTAGGTGTGAAGTGCTAAGGCAACCTGGACTGACAGTGCAGGAAAAAGATTCGAAGATGGACTAAAATAGTGCTCCAACATGCTACTGAAGGGTGTGGTGTTCCCAGAATTTGAAAGACTTTTAGACCCTGGGCATTTTATTAACATGTCAGGTCTCGGCTCAGAACAAGCTCAGAGAGATACATTTGAATGCCCTCAGGATTTTTTCCATGTATTTGTATTATATTATTAAGTGTATATGAGCACTGGTGCCTGTACATGCTGGAGGCCAGGCATGGGATTCCTCCTAGAGCTGGAGTTACATGCAGTTGTGAGCTGCCTGGTATGTATGCTGAGAACTGAACCTTGGCAAGAGCACTAAGGGCTCTTAACTACTAAGCCATCTCTTTAGTCCCCTGCCATCAAGATTTTAAGTAAATCTGGCATGGAGCCTTCTGTTTCAGTATTGAAAATTAGATTATTATTATTATTATCATTTGTTTTTCAAGAAGGCTTTCCTTGTGTAGCTTTGGCTATCCTAGAACTAGCTCTATAGACCAGGCTGCCCTTGAACTCAGAGAGATCCACCTGCCTCTGCCTCCTGAGTGCTAGGATTAAAGGCATGCACCACCACTGCCTGGCCTGAAAATTAGGTTATTCTTACTGTAGCCACACCGATTTCCCCTAACCAGATCCAACAGGGCCTTGAAGGAGTAAAGGCTCTGGTTTGTCAATAGTTAATTACTTTCTGCTTCAAGTGTCATGGCTCAAACGAGATAGGACTCTCCATCAGGTTTTGCATACCTGACATTTCAGAGTGCTCAGCAGCTGCTGTTCCTTTTCACTAACTGTCTCCTTCGGCGGCTTCCCTGACATTTGGCATTGTTGCAGCTGACTGAGAAGGTACAGCACCTAAAGAAAGACACAACCACTGGGTGAGAGCAGAGGAGTAAGGGGATGTTATCTAGTTCAAGTCGTGATTCACGTAACTTTTTCTGTGAGTTAAAGGTAAAGAATGTCTTTTCCTCTCATGTCCAAAGTGATAAGCCTCGTAAAGGTGGTTTTCAGCATGTAACCTTGGGACTGGATTCAGTGACTAAGAGCCACTTAGACAAGTCACTTCTGTTTCAGATCACTTACTTACAAAATGTGGAAAAAAACACATAGTGTTTTGAAGGAAGCTTCATGTGCCATTACTGTTTGTTTACTTATTTTTAGACTGGGATAGGTCTCAGTGTAGTTCAGATAGGCTTTGAACTTGAGATGATTTTTCTGCTTTAGCCTCCCCGAGTGCTAGGATTACAGGCAATCGACCATCATGTTGGGCATATTCTATGACTTTTAAAAATGAACATCCAGAAGCAGTGACAGCCCATGCCTCACCATAGCTTCTTGTCTTGCTAAAAGTTACCTTTTCTTGCTCCTGTTGCTTCACTTTGACCAGCTCAGCTTTTAACTCTCTCTCTCTCTCAGTAAGGTGATTTTGCTCTTCAAACAGCATCTTCTCCATGTCAACACAGCTGGCCTTACTCTGCTTCAGGCTGCTTTCAAGTTTGCTCACCTGTATTTTGGAGGAGACCAGCTGAAAGGATAAGAGAAAGTCATTTTCTGTGAAGGATGATCTATCTTCTCTCATTCACTGAACAAGAAGGTCAGCTTTCTTGAAGTGATTTGAGAAAAGTTCTAAGAAAGTCTAAATCCATTCTCATTTTTCCCATGTCATATGGATTCTAATACTGAACTGAAATACTGCTACTGGTAAAATATTTTACTTTTGATGTGTATGGGTGTTTTGCCTGCATGTATGTCAGCAAACCATGCACATGCCCAGTTGCCCAGTTCCTGCAGAGGCCTGAAAAGGGGGTGTCAGATCACTTAGAAATAGAGTGACAGTGCTAGGACTTGAACCTAGGTCCTCTGAAAAAGCAGTCAGAGCTCTTGGGTCACTGAACCATCTTTCTAGCACCAATAGCACTGTTTTAGCCCTAGCTCATGAGTTGATATTTATGCAGAGACAGGTATCTTAGGGGTAGAAGCCACAACTGAAGTCATTTATCTGTTGCTCTGCATCAAGGCAAGAATAAACCTAACATGGACAATATCTGACAATTCTGAAATTCTGAAACTTTAAGCAGATCTTGAATCTTAAAGAGGAACTCACAGAACACAGCTTATAACCAATCCTGTCTCAGAATCTCTGTTCACATGTTAGAACTTGTAGACCTGATTGCTGAAATTGTAGATCTTTCTAGATAAACCTCTTTAGGCAAGACTGGTATCCTGTATGTGCCTACTTTTATTCTCACTACTAGCCCAGATAGGGAGCATCATAAAGACCAGTATCCCCAAAACTATTCAGCATTCCTTAGTAGACTAAATCTACTAGCCCAAGACAAAAACATATAAAGCATAACAGTGCTCAAACTTCTGGATTCAGAAACAATATACTTGTCTACAGTGATCAATTTTGATTCATCTTCTGATAGTTTACAATGAAATCATACATTTACGATCAGTGAAGAAGGCTTTTTCTTAAAATGAATCTGTGTATAGTCTCCTTGAGACTGTCTCAAATTTCTAAACAAACATCTCATAGGTGTTTTTAAAAGTAGTACAATACTTCATGCTAGCCAGTAACTTCTTATGGCATCCTAGTCTTTTTCTATTAACAATAGGTCACATTAATGCATACTTGCTATGTCAGGCATAATGAGTATCAATTTATGATAATTTTCTAAGACACTGTCCTGTACTTGCTTCTAACCAACTTTTATCTATTAAATGCTTCAATATTGGATCTTCTACCATGAAAAGTAGCTATAGCACCAAGAAAGCGTTCCTTACACTTCAACCTACCCAGTCAGGTCCTCTAGAACTGTTATTATTGGAAAGAGCGATTTTACCTCTCCAATTAAATATTTTATGGCACATTTAGCTTCCAGAATTGTGGCAATATTCTCCCAGCGTTGTTTCCGCCTGTCTTCACTTTCGGCATCTAGGAGCTTTTGCTGTAGGTCTGCAATCTGAGCACTCCTTCAGGGAGAGAACAGTGAGGAGAAAGGGAGGAGCTTTGATTAGAAAAATTAAAAGAATTTTATGTATGGAATTATCAGTTAAAAAATGACAAGCTGTATTATTCAAATTTTATGTGGTCCCTCCAAAACTGTAACAAAAGGAACCCCAAGGAAATGTCCAAGTGTCTCTAATTTCATTAAATATTGGTTGAAATAAGAGAGACTTAGAGGTTGATGGCTACCCTATATGCCATCCTAGAACCTTCATCCAGGGACTAGTGGAAGCAGAGACAGATACCCACATCTAAACACTGAACTGAACTCCTGGAACCTAATGACCGAGATGGAGGAGTGATGAGCAAAGGGGTCAAGACCATGATGATGAAACCTACAAAGACAGCTGACTGGATAAGGGGGAGCTCTTGAATACCAGACTGATGGCTGAGAGGCCAACAGGGGACTGATCCAGACTCCATGAATGTAGTGTCAGGGAGGAGGCCACAGAAATCACTGGGGCCTTGGGTAGTAGATCAGTGTTTACCATGGTTTATGAATGATCTTTGGGAGCCCATTCCAAATAGAGGGATGCTCTCTCAGCCTGGACACATGGGGAAGGGCCTAGGCCCTGCCCTGGATGAAATGACAGACTTTAGAGATCCCCCAAGGAGGGCCTCACTGTCCCTGGGGAATGATGTGGGGATTGGTTGGGGGGTTGGGAGGCTGGTGAAGGGACAAGGGAGGAGGGGTGAGAGAGGGAGCTGGGACTGACATGTGAAACATTCATGTTTTTAATTTAAATAAAAACATATATTGAGGGAAAAAAGAAGAAAAAGAGAGACTTAGAATGACTGATTTTTTCCTACCTTTTATTTATTTCTCTGTGTATGTGTAGGGGTGGACACACCATGGTGTGCGGACTTTTTGTTAGTTCTTTGTCTCATTGTTTTCTCAAAAGTTTTTTCAGTTTATTATACATTCTAGTTTTTAATCCTCTGTCACATATGTAGCTGATAACGATGTTTCCCCATTCCACAGGCTGCCTCTTCACTGGAATGATGGTGTCCTTTGATGTACAGAAGCTTTTTAAAATTTCATGAGGTTCTATTTGCTAACTGTCAGAAGCAGGTGCTTCTTATAAGCTGAAGTGCGTTCACTATTTTCTTCTCTATTACATTATGGTCTCAGGTCTTAATTTGAGGTCTCTGTTTTATGTGGAGCTGTTTTGTGTAGAGGAGAAAACAAGCTTCATTCTTCTACATGTATGTAGCTAAACACCTTAAACTGCAGCATTTGTTGAAGATGCTGTCTTCGTTGCAGTGTGTATTTCTGGCCTCTCTGTCAAAAAGTTTAAGACTCCCAACTTTATTTTACATTTGTAAGGTGAGAAGAATGACTCTTGCTTCATAGAGCACCATAGCGACTGAATGGCAGAATGAATCTCAAAATACTGTTACTTTCTCTTTGTCACTGTCCCCCCCCCCTTAATCCTTTGAAAAGGAAGGAAACTCTTGACTGTGTGGATTGCTGGCACCTATTTGGATTCCAGCTATAACATTTTATGCTTCAGATACAGCCGGATTACCTGAGCTCCAGTTCAGTCTCTAGGCTTTCAATCTGCTTTGCAATGTAATCCTCTGCTTCTGTATCCGAACCTCGCATTTCATCACGTGAGAATGTGCGCCTCTGTAAAAACAGTGGGCAAGAAGGTGGGATTTAAAAGGAAAGAGTCCTCCAAAGCAGTGAGGATTCGCTGGAAATTCCATGTGGCTATTGATAGCATCTTCCCATGACACTTACTCGGAGTTTAGGAGGAGGATTCTCTCCAGATTCTCTTTTTTCTTTGAGTTGTGCCACATCCTGAGCTAGGATCTTCCTGTCTTCAAGAAGGTCATTCAGATGCCGCTTGGCTTCCTCAGTACTGACCATAACCTCAATTTCATTTCCAAGCCAATTCTAGAAGAAAAATCAGTGATGTGTGAGTTGGGGATGAGGATTCCATGGGCTAGATACAATTTAACTTAATTTCATTTGGACCAGAGTCTATGAAACCAGAAGTGAGATCTTTATTTGTGTCTATATCGCTAAAACCATTGCCTCTCTAAGAACTTTTATCAATAAGTCCCCAAAGTCATGAGAAGCTTTCTATAGCAAACCTTTCTCTATCTATCCTACTACTTCTATTTATTGTTCCCATAATATTTGTTTTTTTGCCATTAACTATCATGACACATGTTTAAAACAGAAGGTAGGTGAGGGGCTGGAGAGATGGCTCTGAAGTTAAGGGCACTTACTGCTCTTCCCAGCACCCATGCCTGTAATTCCAGCTCCTGGGATCCAATGTCTCTGGCTTCCCTCAGACACTTGAATTCGGGTGTACATATCCACTTGCAGACACACACAATACAACAAAAAATATATAGAAAAAAAGTAGACGGAAGGGATTTTAAAAGGAAATATAATTAGCTAAATAGACTTTTAGAAACAGTAGCCTTGAAGGCTGGATACAGTTTAGTGGTAGAGTGGGTGCTCATGTTCAAGATGCTATAAATTCAATCCTTAACACCAAAAAGAGAAAAACTCACAAAAGATACTTGGAGAGAATTCTCAAAAGAACAACTGTGCAAGCTCAAACCAGACAAAATCCCAGGAGGTGGGAAGTGGACCTAAGTCCTACCCTAACTGAGTGTTGAGATGACAGGCATATGCCATTTTTCAAGCTTTTTGCTATCCATTTCTACTTTAATTCCATTATGGTCAAAAACGTACTGCACAAGACTTACGCTGTCTTAAGCCAGTCAGAGTACCCTGAAACTTATTTTATGGTTCAGAATCTTAGTGGGTTTTCTCTACGAACTTATTATATCACCCATTTCCTAGGTGTGTGCCAAAGTGAAATGACAATGCTTATGCAGAAGCCTGTATGTGACCTTTCTGATAGCAGCTTCATTCATGTAATGGTTTACTTTAGGTGATGACTTGATTGGATTAAGGAATACCTATAGAACAAAGGTAAAGCCATTTTTTTTCTGGATACATCTGTCAGTGTATTTTCAGCGGAGATTAGCAATATGAGCAGGTGGACTGAGTCCAGAGTTGCAGATAGAACAAAACTGACAGAGGGAGGGCAATTTCTCTTTCTTTTCTGGACCTAGGGCATGACAGCTCCACGTACTTTGGTCTTTGGACTCCAGGACTTATATCAACACCCCCAGATTCTTTAGCCTTTGCCCTATGACTGAGAGTTACACAACCAGTCTCCCAGTTTTGAAGCTATCAGACTTAGACTCAATTGTGATATGGTATCCAGGATCTCCAGCTTGCAAGCGAAAAACTATGGGACATTTGGGCCTCATAACTATGTGAGCCATTTCTCCTCATAAATCTCTCATGTCTATTGGTTCTGTCTCTCTGAAAAACAATATAATTCAAAATTGTTATTTGGGTGTGGCAGTTCATGGCTGTACTCACAGCACTTGGAAGCTGAAGCAAGAGGACTGCTACAAGTTAGAAACTAGCCAGCCTGGGCTATAGAAGAAGTCTAGGCCAGGCCTTGCCTCAAAAAAGTCAAAAGCATTTAACAATTGACTGGATAAACAAACCATAGTAAATCCATGCAATGGAATATGACTTAATGAAATAAATACACAAAAAGTGCAAACTATGGATTTAAATGCATCACATTAAAAGAAGCCATATTTTATTCTTATAATTTTAAGACCAAAACAAAGGAGAGATAACCATAATATAAATCAGTGTATAAGAGATGCTCAGCAGTAGAGTACCTGCCTAGCACGTACAAGGTCTTGGGTTTAATCCTTAGCACTTACTGAACTACCCAATAAAACACACTTTATGTCAATTATGCTTTAATAAACTGGGTTAAAAAGGAATCAATTCCATTTGCCATTCTAATAGCTAAATCAATCAAGCCACAAGTTTATTTTAATAATAAAGGAAATTTTTCTGAAAAAATAAAATTAATTTTGATAAAAAACATTTAGTTTTAGGTACATGGGTGTTTTGTCTGAATGTATGTCTGTGTACCACATGTGTTCCTGGTACTGGCTGGGTAAGAAGAGGATGTCTGATCCCTTGGGATTGGAGTTACAGATGGTTTTAAGCTTCTGTGTAGGTGCTGGGAACTGATCCTGGCTCTCCTGGAAGAATAGCCAGTGCTCGCAACCACTGACCCACCTCTCCGGCCCCCTCATTTTGCAATAAAACCCTTAATGTTCTTAAATCTTAGCTATAAATTCTATGCAATCCTAAACAAACTCGTAGCAGACCTGGCAGAAATTTTTAAGCCAATTCTAAAATTCAGACAGAGATACAGAGGACCCAGCTTTCTCAAAGAAAGGGAGGAAGGAAGGAAGGGAGGAAGGGAGGAAGGAAGGAAGAACAATAATGGACTTATACCATCTGATGTTTTGTAAATTTAGAGATAGCATTGAAGACATTTTGGTAGTAGCATAAAAGTAGATATGTAGAACAATGTAATAGAATCTACAAATAGATAAATAGACATATAATTCTGACAGAGGTATCATGCCAAAATGAAACTTATGTCTACATGTAATGATAGAAAACACACATATCAAAAAGAAAATTTAGGAGGAAATCTTAGCAATCATGAGTTTACTAAAGATGTCAAACAAAACATGAAAACTATGGATCATAAGAGAAAAGCATCAATATATTAGATAATGTCAATTAAAAGCCTATGCTGGGGATGGTGGTGCATGTCTGCAATCCCAGAATTTGGTGATGAAAGAGAAATCAGAATATAATCCTAGCACTAAGGAGGTGGAGGCAGGAGGATCAGGAGCTCATGTTCATCCTCAGCTACACAGTGAATTTGAGGTCATCCAGGAATATACAAGGTCCAGTCTCAACAGAGATAGTAGCTAGCTTTGATACTCCAAAGATTCTATTTAAAAATTAAGAAAAGCAAGTCACAGCCTAAGAAAATAACTGTAAAACAGAGGTCATCTGTTGGATATACCCAAGTTATAGAAAGAATTCAAAATTTATAATAAGAAAAAATACAATCCAATCAAAAAGTAGAGAAAATATTTGGATACTTCACACAATAAAATACACACAAAAAAGTAGGCTGGGTGCGGTGGCTCACACCTTTAATCTTAGCTCTTGTGAGGCAAAGGCAGGTGGATTGTTGTGAGTTTGAGGACAGTCTGATTTACATAGTGAGTTCTGAGATACCCAGGGCTATGTAGAGACCTTGTCTCAGAAAACAAACAAACAAACAAACAAAAACACCAAAGAAACAAAAAAGAAAAATAAAAAAGCAAGTAGACACATGTAAAGATGCTCAACATCCTTATTAGGAAAATGAAAACTATAACAAGGTACCTACTAGAATACCTAAAATTTAAAAGACTGACTATACTATAAGTATTGTTGAGAACAGGCAGCAATAAGAACCTAAATTCACTGCTAGTAGGAATGTAATATGGTATAACCACATTGGTAAACAGTTTAGTAATTGTTTAATAGGTAAAACATACACTTAGCAGATGAGAAAGCCATTCAAATCAGGGATGTCTACCCAAAAGAACTAAGACACACAGTTCCCACAAAAACTTGATGTATGAGTGTTCAATACAATATCTGTAATAGCCCAAACTGGAAATAACTCAAATGACCACCAATAGGTGAGCAGAGAAGTTATAGTACATCATACAACGAATGTAAAAGTAACTGATGAATGTAATCATATGGACAAATGTGAAAATAATTATGCTGAATAAGGGGTCAAAAAGTCACATACTACGTAATTAAATTTTAATAAAACTATAAAAAATAAAAACAAATCTATAGTGACAAAAAACCAATCTCTCTCTCTCTCATTTTTTTGAGAAAGGGTTTCTTTGTACAACAGCTCTGGCTGTCTTGGAACTCACTATGTAGACAAGGCTGGCCTCAAACTCAAGAGATCTACCTGTATCTGCCTCCTAAGTGCTAGGATTAAATGTGTGTGCCATCGCCACCTGGTTATATTTGGATTTTTAATTTAAAAAATTTAAAAACTTTTTAGATTTACTGAATGCATATTAATGCTTTGTCTGTATGTATGTAAATGAACCAGTGGATTCAAACTCTCCATGGAGCTCAGACTTGCTTTGAACTCATGATTTTCTTGCTTCAGCTTCACAAATGCAATGAGGTCATGCACGGGTGTATCGCCATACCCGGCCAGAAAGCACATTTTGGTATTCTATGTGTAATGGTTATTTTCCCATTGCTTTCACCTGACAAAAGCAACTTAAGGAACAGCTTATTGAGTTTCACAGTTTAATGGCATATAGCTCCCCACGGCATGGCAGGCACGGGGACAGGAGTGTGAGGTGGGTGGTCACACTGTGCTGAATGTCAGAAAGCAGAAAGATAGGAATACTCACACTCGGCTCACTATCTCCTTTTTATTCAGTCTAGGATCCCAGTCCATGGTATGGTGCGACCCAGCATTTCATCAAACTGTATACTTTAAATACATACCATTCACTGTATGTCAATTTCACCAGAATAAATAGTAACTGAGCTATGACAGGCAGGGATAGAAAGAATTCTCCACTTTTGCTCTCTGACAACAGTTTAAAGACAAGTATCTTTTGAAAAAGGATTTCAGACGGAACTTCAAATTCCAGATTTACTTTTAAATCAATAGAAAATTATTTCCTATTTTTCCTATCCCCGGAGCATCTAAGGAAAATGGCAGTTCAAGCTGTTCATACCTTCACTCGAGCTGCAGTGCCTTCCATCCCACGGCTTTGAGTCTCTTTCCGTTTATCTGCAACCTCCTTTTGCTTTTGGAGAGCATCCTTAAGACGTTTGTTGGCAGCTGCTGCCTAAATACAAATGGGAAATGGTTATGCTGAAGAACATTTTAATTTGCAGCATCTCAGCAAACAAATTCTAGGTTTTAAAATCTCCATGGACATGAAAACTGATGAATAGCCACTGCTTCAGAACTTGTACGAGAGATGTATTTAAAGGAAGTCCTGCAGGCTACAAATGTCTGAGAATATCATGTATTGCTAGTAGTCTGATTTTTTAAAGGAAACAAGTCAAATTAGAATTAAGAAATCACTTTTTTTTATATTTTATTTTCCAGTTTAAATTTAGATAAGAAACGAGGTTGCTTCACAAGTCAGTTCCAGGTCCCTCTCCCATTCCCTCCCCTCCTCCCGTGACCTCCCCCCAACCCCCCCCCGTTATCCCCTCATTCCCCCAGGGAGGGTGAGGCCCTCCATGGGGGTGTCCATAGTCTGTCATTTCATATAGGGCAGGGCCTAGACCCTTCCCCAAGAGTTCAGGGTGAGAGTGCACCTCACATTGTTCTATGATGATAAGAGTTTTCAAAATAGACTATTTGTTCACAGGTCATACTAGATATAAAGAGATGAAGACTTAGGGTTTGTTCAGCTTGTATGGTAGTGCATGTTCATAATCCCAATACTTAGGAGGTAGAGTCAGGAGTTCAAGGCTAGTCTTGGCTATCTAGTGAGCTCAATGACAGTCTGAACTACAGAAAAACAAAAATAAAACATAAACCCCCAAATAAAACAAAACAAAATATTTAAGAATTGCTGGCCAATATTGACATCCCTCATTTCCTAAGACACTGTGTCAGCATGTTTAAGTATGAAGATGACAATGCATTTAGCACAACAGACAGGATTTTCTTACCTCCTCAGTTTTACGTCTGAGCACATTAGACTGTTTCTGGAAGTTCCTTTCAAGTTTGAGCAGCTCGTATTGCCTCTTACGATCCTGATAACAAAAAAGTCACATCTTAATTGATGTCCAGCTAACTAAAATAAAACCTTAAACTAAGAAAACTTTCCAGATGTTCAGATGTCCTTTATATTTAAGGCTAAGAACAACAGTGTGAGCTGGATTTATCTTCTCTTATCAAAATTTTGAACTGAAAGTTCTAGAAACTATGTTTGCATATATAATAAAGATGCTTGTCTTCCTCAGCTTATTGTTCTGTGTTCAAATCCTCCATTTCTCAGACTAAGTCAATTATAAATATTACCATAGGATGTGAGATCTGGAAGAAAGCAAAGATCATCCAATGAATGCCTTGTCCATATAGGTCACTATTGACAGAGCTAGAACTTAGTACTACTGATAAAAAGATCAGTACTCTTTTATCCTCAACTTTAAGAGTTGATTCGTCATAAAACCCAGTGGCCAGAAAAAAGGAGAAAGCTACCACAGCCAGACACATAAAATCATTTCTCATTTCTGAACAAATCTAACTCACCTGAATGCATCGTCTCTGCTCAGAGATGAAAAATCAGGACCATGAAACATTATGGGATACCAGCTGCTTCAGACAACCACACTCTTAACTGCTTTGATTTCTCGGCCCCTTTCTTATCTTCTTAATCTATGAAGCTTTTTGGTTCTACTTGTTGTTTACCCAGTCTGGATGGCATTTGGTCAGCCATTTTAGTCATGTCCTTGCCAGCATACATAAAGAACTATTATGAGATGGCTAATACAAATGAACTCAAGGGTATTTTTGTAGACCATTTTGTCTCCTATCATTTTGTTTTGCTTGTATATTATAGTTTCCATTTTTGTGTTTTTAGGAGTTTATATGTGTATGCTTTTTTAAACTTTAAAAATTGTTCTGGCTTATTTTGCCTATTTGTTTTTTTTTAAGCGAGAACGAAGGCAGGGAGTTGGGTGGGTGGGGAGGATCTGGGAAGAGTAGGAGGAGAAACTGTGATCAAATTATAAAAAATCATTTCCAATAAAAAAGAGTTAAACATGCTGATTCTGGGAAGCAGGCAATGGTGGGGCATGGCGTGTGGCTTTCAGTTAGCCTTTTGAAACGATCTGATTCTGAGCATTATAAAATGCATAACTGATTAAAGCTGGAATGAAGTTCTGAAAAAAATCCTGCATCAACAACTGGTTAAAAAAAAGAACGATTAGTTTTAACACTGGGGATTGTAGCTTAGTGATAGAATGCTTGTCCACCAAGCACGAAGTCTTATCAGGGAAAAGAAGACAGGTATTCATTTTGTATAATTCATATAATATTTATACAGTAGGTACTGTACTAGGTTCATGAAGACATGAAGATGATCTGGTTAGTATTCTCACAGAGACTGCAAATGAATATAAACGACACATAATTATAACAGAGTACAATAGAATTGTAGATAGGCCTATTTTAATAGGATGTGTGTTAGTATGAGGACAAGGGAATTAAACAGCTAGGAGATTAAACTAATTCAGTGACACAAGAAAACCCAACACTCCCATCACAAAGCTTCTTGAAGAAGTTGGTGCTTCTAGTTGTCCTTACAATTCACTTGTAATTAATTTCTATTGCTGCCCTGAAATCTCTTCCCGGTTTAATTCAGTGTCCTTTTTATGGTCCCCTTTTGACAACAAACTCAGTATCATTATTGCTCCCAAAACTGTATTGCAGCACCCTCATCCCTTTTCAGTCTTACAAATTTCCTGGTTACTTTATTCTATGTAAAATAAAGAGATTTTTTTCTTAGCCTTCTCTGTCTATTTTTCCTTTCTCCTTTCTTTCTACAGGTTGCCCTTGAACTAATTACACTTCCTTTTTTCTAAACATTCCCCATCTTTATAATCTTATTATTCCTGTGGTTTCAATTTTCACATTTCTGTAAGATAATTCCCTAATTATTAACTCTAGCCCATGCTTGCTTTTGAACTCAGCTAATATTACTTCTCTGTACGAATGCTTACACTCCTGAAACCAGGATCATTACTGCAAACTAGAATTTGCCTCTAAACTTCCCGGCCACTCAAAAGCCTTGATGTTCTCCTGGACTTATTTTTTTTGTGGTTATTTGAGACAGGGTTTCTCTGTGTAACAGCCTTGGCTACCCTGGAACTCACTCTGTAGACCAGGCTGGCCTCGAACTAACAGAGATCCTCCTGTCTCTGCCTCCAGAGTGCTGGGATTAAAGGTGTGCACCACCGCCTGGCCAACTGTCCCCTCTTTGAAAGGCATATTAACCAACTGCCAACTATTTCCCAAAGCAGCCACACCATTTTCCCATCCTACCAGCAAATGTATGAATCTAATTCTGAATTCTGGCCACAATAATTGTCTCAGCTGGCGTGAAATGGTTTCCATCTACATTTTCCTGATGCAAATGACAATGGGCACCTATTGCGCACTTCGCTGCTTTGTTCATCTTGCAACTGGGCTTTGTGTGTGTGTGTGTGTGTGTGTGTGTGTGTGTGTGTGTGTGTGTGTGTGTGTGTGTGTGTGTGTTAGATAGAAGACCCCCAGCAGTTATATGACTTATGAATATTTTCTGTTATTTTATATACTATGTTCATGCTGGTATTGTTTACAGTAGAGCAGTTTTTAAGTTTTCTAATCTAATTTTTGTTTGACTATGCTTTAGGCATCCCATTAAAAATAAAAAGCCGGGCAGTGGTGGCGCACGCCTTTAATCCCAGCACTCGGGAGGCGGAGGCAGGCCGATCTCTGTGAGTTCGAGACCAGCCTGGTCTACAGAGCGAGTTCCAGGACAGCTTCCAAAACAATACAGAGAAACCCTGTCCCGAAAAACAAATAAATAATGTTTGCCTAATCAAAAGTCACAAATACTAACACCTTGCTTTATTCTAAGAGATTCATAGTTTTAACTCTTATATATATTTAAATATTATTTATTTATTTAAAGTGTGTGTGTTTGTGTGTGTGTGTACGTGTGCAGGGAACTTGTGGGAGTCAGTTCTCTCCTTCTACCAGGTGGGTCCCAGTGAATGAACTCAGGCTTGGTGGCAAGTTATCTTTTTTGGTTAAGCACCTACTGCTAAGCCCAGTGACCTGGGTTTGATTCCTGACACTCACATGTAGAGAGAATCAAATACAGCAACGTGTCCTCTGATCTCTACATATGTGCCCACACACATACGTATGTATGGGATGAATAAATATTATAAATAACAGATAATAGTGGCTGGTCCATTTTACATTCCACTAGCAATGTGTGAGGGTCCTGGTTTTATCACATTACCACAAACTTTGCTCTTTTCTGTTTTAATTGCAGTTTTTCCAGTGGGTATGAGGTGGATATTGCACTGTGGTTTCCAGGTGTGCTTTATTAAACAGCTCAACTGTCTTGAAAAGTGTTTTCTATCATATACCATGCTCTTTCTTCTCATATTCACCCAAGCATGCAGATAAATAGTTTTGCTTAGTTTTGAACTGCCAATTGTTAAGCCTAAAATAAACTAAACTAAACAAACATAGATACTTTGAAATCTTTCTGAAAAATGCTATATTTGCTGGGCGGCAAGATGGCTCAGTAGGAAAAGGTGCTTGCCACAAAGCCTGATGATCTGACCTTGATCGCTTAAATCTATATGGCAGAAGGAGAGAAATGACTTCAAACAAGCTGTTCTCTGACCTCCCAACTCAGGCTAGTGGTGTCCTCCTCCCTCTGTGCAATACAATAAATATAATTTTAAAGATTTTGCTAAATAAAGTGTTTTTTTCTAATTCTGAGCTATATATTGCCATGAGTAATCATCAGTAGTGTATTTTCCCTGGTGACAATTTGGCTTCTTTAGGATTTTTCCCCTGCCAAACCTTTCCTGAAGCATCTGTAACTCGCTGAATCGCTTGTAAGATCATTCTGCTTTTAGCACAGTATCACTGGAGGTAAGCAGAAACTCTCCCAAATTACCCAACAGTAATGTCTAATGCTGCTGATGTGGTTCAGTGTATACCTTTTGCTTTGTTTTATGACTCAGACATTTAAAAACTGTTTTTCCCTCACTGTTTTATTTTGCTGAAGTGTCTCACGTGTTGTCCTTTTTAAAATTATTTTATTTAGCATTGTGTGGAGGTATGTATGGCACATGTGTGGAGGCCACAGGACAATCTGTAGAGACAATTCGCTCCTTCCACCTTTATGTGTTTCTGGGGATCACTCAAGTCAGGCTTGGCGCAAACGGTTTTACTTGCTCAGCCATCTCACCAGCCTCTTTCTGTATCATTCTTAAATCTTCAAATTATTTATTCCTTGTATTCAAGAAATCCAGGCTTATATTGCACCTTCCTGTACAAAGAAGACATTATTCAAGCGCAGAGCTCATTTACTACTCAGCTTTCAACTTTTCATAGTACCTCATCCATAGTGGCTTGCATATGGTAGACACTCAACAGAAAGCTGTTCAATTCATGAATGTCACACTTGTGGAGATATAGGATAAACAAAAAAAAACTTTAGTATTAGTAGCTTGGAGACAGGCTCATTAGATAGGCCTTTGAGAAGCTTCAATTAACTTACCCGTTCTTTTAACTGGATTACTTCTTTGTCTTTTTGCTGTTTCCACTGTCTAAACTTCTCAGCATCCTCTTTCATTTGACGCATTAACTGGACTCGCTGGTGTTTCATTGTCTGTAAAAAACAAACAAACAAATCAAACCAGTGTGTTAGTCATGTGTACTTCATTCTAGGTTTTGAACAGATAGATAGAGTAACCATAAAGAAGACAAGAAGGCCAGAGCTAGCTGAGAAGATCACCAACAAATGCTGATTAGGCTTGCTACCCGGCCTGTCTCAGCATCTGGAGTGTTGGAATTAAAGGTGGCTCCAAGGAATTAATTCTAAAACCAGGAACAAATTTACCTATCAACTATTAATATTCTAAAGATTTCAGAGCAAATAAACTGTAATCACTTTGCTGATGCTATATATAAGCTGAACGCTCAGTAACTGAAAATATCCTCTAGATGTCTGACATCTTGCTACTACAAAATTGTGCCAGGATATTGTAGGAGATGATCAGAACATGACCACTAAATGCTGACATATTTTAATCTTTTGGTCTAACATTAAAATTTCTGTATGCAAAAAAGTCAAAGGTCAAATCAAAGTTTCATAATTCATATTCTAGACAGTGACTAGCACAATGTCCTAAAATACCATACTTGTGGCTATTTTTACATCTGAAATGATTACCCTGCTTCCCAATTTCTTGCCTGAAATCACTTTGGCATGATTCTAAATGGAACACCTATGCTTGCAGTTCCAATGTACTAAAAACTAGGATGAGAGTTTATTACCCGTATCTCCTGGTTCAGCTTGGAGACAGTATGCTCAGTGGATTCCTTCAGCTTCAGAAGTTTGGACTGTTCTTGTAGTTTCTTTTTCAAATCAGCTATTTGACCCTCCAGCTCTTGGAGACGTTTGCGACGGCGCTCACTCAGCCTAAATGCAGTTATAATAGAAGTGAAATGGCTTATTCTAAAATATGTAACAAAGGACTCGCGGGTTTACAACCTTATATAACATCCTCTTTAAAATAACGAATACAATCCATCCAATACAAACTGTCTCACTAATGAAAGCTTCAATTCGGGGTAAAGCAACACATTTTTCAGCATCCAAAAATGAACTGCTTCAATATACTCTCTCCCACCACTAGTGTCCAAAGGAAGGAGGTCACCTTGCTTTAGCTGTAAGGACAAATCCTGATAATTATTATATAGGTTGGTGACAGAAAGTAATCATTTAGCATAACTCTAAAGAACATAAGGTTTAGATTCAATAGAAAACAAAAACAATTGTAAGAGTAAATCAGGCTCTGTCTAAGGTAAAAGTCTAAGGGAAAGGAGGGGGTTCTGATGGCTTGTCTTAGTTTTATTCTTAACTAATCAATGAATGGTTAGTTTGATTTTTAATTATTAACTTGAGTGTTAATTTTAGTCACAATCAAGGGCACAAAATTGTCGAGGATGTCAAGATTTTAAGTGCCAGCTTACATTTAACTTTTTATAAATACTTCCTTGATCACATTAGCATGAATTAATAGCTCCTGCCTGTGAATGTTAATACTGCTTTTTCTTAAACAAAGTGACTTACAGTCGCTGCTAAAAACTAATTTGGGCACTAGTTGCTTGCTATGTTATAGCACTCTTTTATTGTCATCCTGAGATGTTTTTATTATTGGGGCTGGAGGATGGCTCAGGAGTTAAGAGCACATGCTGCTCTTGCAGATGAGCCCGGTTCAGTTTCCAGCATATACTCTAGGTGACTCACAACCATTCTGTAACTCCATTGTCGGGAATCTTGTACCATTTTCTAGCCTCCATGTGCACATACTACCACCCAATAATTAAATATAAAAAGTAAAGACATCTCGCTGGCCTTTAATCCCAGCACTCGAGAGGCAGAGGCAGGTGGATCTCTGTGAGTTCAAGGCCACCATGGTCTCCAGAGTGAGTTCCAGTTCAGCCTCCAAAACAATACAGAGAAACCCTGTCTCAAAAAACCAAAAAAAAGTAAAGACATCTCAATCATTTAAATTTTCTTCTGTCTAGGTTTTCCCCCTACCTACTGTGTTTAAATCAATTGGGGGCATTGAATGGGTCTTCTACTTCTACATTCTCTCAAAATCACCTTATACATGGCAGGGACTTAGTATTTATTGTCTTTATGCTTACTTGGCTTGATTGACATCCTTCTTAGTTGTTTGAAGTTCAAGAACCAATTCTTCCTTTTCCCTCTGTAGACTGAGGACTTCCAACTCTAGATTTTTAATGTTATCCTAGAAACATTACAGGTCAGAGAAAAAGAAAGGATTATGTAGAGTAGGAACATAATTGATTCAACATTTTGTCTCTAGGAACCATAAATTAATTACTATTTTTGAGGTACAACTCATTATATAGCTCTGGCTGGCCTGAATCTTGCAAACTGACCTCAAAGTCATAGAGATCAGCCTACTTCTACCTCCTGGGTATTTGAATTAAACTTCTATGCTACCTTGCTTGGCCCAGGAATTACTTTTATTAATCGTTCTTTTCTTCCTTTTTTCCATTTTCTTTGAAGCAAACAGGTTCTTATTATACAGGCCAGCCTGGATTCTTTGCTATCCTCATGTCTTAGGCTCCCAAGTGCTAAGGTTATAGTGATTCTACATTTGGCTTTATGAATTAAATTTTACTTCAATTGCACACCAAGGTAAGTCACAAGAAAGACTCTAAGAGGGATGCATGGATAGCCCTGGGAAGGGTAAATACATGGCTAAACAGGGGTGGAGGGGAGGGGATGGAGGGGATGGGATAGGGTTTGGGAACATGATAGATCTCAATAGTTGAGTTGGAGGAGGGATGGAGAGGGAGAGCAATGAAGGTGATGTCTTGATAGAGGGGGGCATTTTATGGTGTTAGCAAGAAACATGGTACAAGAGAAACTCCCAGGAATCTACAAGGATGACCCCAGTGAAGACTCCTAGCAATAGTGAAGGGGTGCCTGAACTGGCCTTCTCCTGCAATCAGATTGGTGACTACCCTAATTTTCATTATAGAGCCTTTATCTAGCAACTTATGGAAGCAGATGCAGAGATCCATAGCCAAGCACTGGGCTTAGTTCTTGGAGTCTAGTTGAAGAAAGAGAGGAAGAATTATATGAGCAAGGAGAGGTCAAGATCATGATGGGGAAACACACAGAGACAGCTGACCTGAGCTTATGAGAACTCAAGGACTCCAGACCGACAACTAGGGAGCCTGCATGGGACCAACCTAGACCCTCTGTATGTGGGTAACAGTTGTGTAGCTTGGGTCTGTTTGTGGGACTCCTGGTAGTGGGACCAAGGCCCATCAATGATGCATGAGCTGGCTTTTTGGAGTCCATTCCCTATGGTGGGATGCCTTGCTCAGCCTTTATGCAGGGGGTAGGAGCTTGGTCCTGCCTCAACTTGATATGCCAGGGTTTGTTGACTATCCATGGGAAGCCTGTCCTTTCTGAGAAGTGGATGGGGGAGGTAGGAAGGAGGTGGGGAAGGAATGGGAGAAGAGGAGAGAGGGAAACTGGTTGTAAAATATATAAAAAAATTTAAAATAAAAAAGGACTTGTGAAGTTCAAAGGCCTAGATCTGAATCTTAACTATAACACTAAGCATATCACAGAAAACTCCTTTTAGCCTTAGTTTCTATGCTGAAAAGAGTTAATATAGGATTTTTGAGACAACTGTCAATTAAAAAGAGTTCCTTGCAAGGTCGGCTCTTGACTTGTTTCGGTAAAATTTTGATTTTGGTAGGACCATGACTTGATAGGTAACAATGGCTCACTTATGACTAAGCAATGCAAATACCTGTCTTCTTTCAGGGGGTATAGAATATGGTATGCACCAGACAAAGAAAGACAATATGACTCACACCTGTGAAAATCCCTGGATTCCTACGGTTGGGGAATTGAGTTTTTCCTGGTAATGAGCATTTCACACATAATCATATAAATAGAAAAATAAAAAGATGCCCTGTGACTTCCCTGGGAGAGAATTGCTAGAAGCTTGTGTTTGGTTTCTTCTGGATTTGGCCTATAGGCTTTTTTCTTTGCTGATTTTACTTTGTGCCCTTTCACATATAAATCTTAACTGTAAATATAACTATTTGCTGAATCTTTTGAGTCTTTCTAGTGAATCGTTAGATGTAGAGGTCATCTTGGTGTCTCTTGAGTTTTTCCACCTGTACACTTGTATAAATAACAACATGACCCAATTTCCACTTGCTATTTAAGATTAAGATGTACCCTTACTGATGTTTGCTATCACAACTGTTCAAAATAATCACTAGTTTAATGGGTGAAAACAGTATCATATCCACATTAGTCACTAATTATCTTACCATCTTCATACAGGGAAACAATAAAATATTTGAGTACTGACTAACAACAACTGACAAAATAGCCAGGTGAATTTCTGTGAGTTTGAGGTCAGCCTGGACTACAGACTGAGTTCCAAGACAGTCAAAACTACATACACAGAGAAATCCTGGAGAAAAAAAACAACAATAACAACAAGTGACAAAAACCTTCACTGAACAGAAACTATGTTTCATTCGTTTGTCCTGCAGTAGTTCTTTTTTATAACAGGGCTCCAGACCTTAGCACAACTGACTCCATGATGGAAGTACCATTCATGCTCTAAAGCTCAGCATGTAGATAGTACCCCTGCCAAAACTAAAATAAAGAAATAAACCATAAAAGTTCATAGTTATTATTAAGTCTCTAAATGTACTAACTTTGCTTTTTGGCTTCTGTAGTTCTACTTCTAGCTAAGTGTTCTTGTTAAATTAAATAAGTCAACTCAGGACATGGTTTTTGTGCATAAATGCTCACCCTAACAAAGACTTGATGTTACACTGGGATCTGAACAGTGTAGTCTCTAGCTAGCTAATAATGACTTTCTATTGTCTTAGACCCACGTCTGACCAGTCTTCTCTGGTGTATATCTCACAATACTTTTCATCATGGCAGTAAAACACAGTTTAAAAATCAAAAACTTGGACTGGACTGGTGAAATGGTTCACTAGGTAACAGCACTTGCTATGAAAGCCATGGAAAGATGAAAAGAAAAAACCAGCTCCACAAAGTAGTTTTTAAAAAGAAATTGGGAAAACTGTCGTTATTTCTTAGAAAGGAGGTGATGAGTTACATGTGATTAGAAGGTATTATTTTTATTATGGGTCTATTTCTTTTTATATTTGGTTCCCAGAGGAAAAAGACTAGATATATTACTGTATCTATAGTATAGCTATGCCTCATTATTTATACTTCCCTATAGAGTAGGAGCTACCCTGGATGAACTTGTTTTCTATGTTTTGGGTAGTATTAGAAGAGTCTTACTAGTAATCTTTTATTGATCCTGGAAAAGTAAAAACATGTTTGACCTGAAAAGGGCTGCACCGAACTACATATTCAACCTTCCTCCTGTAATTCCACTAAAATGATGCAAAAAAGGTGTGTAAATTAACAAAAGCACGAGGAGTAAAGCAGTATTCAAGACATATCAACAGACTTTGGGAAGAAAAACAGCATCTGACTTCCAGAATGGAAACAGTTAAACTATGATTCCTACAGGATGAAAGCCAACAAGCAGAAAGCTAGTTTGTATCATAGAAACAGAGAGAGGAGCAGAGACTTCCTTTCTGGAGTGACTGAAACTTTCAGGCTGAACTGCCAGCCCAGATACAACTAAAAGGAGACATGGGAACCACACTGCTGATATGTAGTAAATAAAACTCTGCATGACCACAGAGACTACAATTCCCCTTTTCCCACCACTCTACCCACACAGCTATTATCAGAGAAAAAGATTTCTGTAGCTCAGGAGAAATCAATGCATGAAGAACTTCCTATTGGCTTTTAGTTGCTCACTCTTATATTTTGTACAGATAGCCAAAGATCACCAGAAATTTGGGGAAAGGTTCTTAAGTGAAAGCAAGAATAAAAGATACAAAAAGTAAGGAAATGTGGAGAAAAGAGAGGCAAGGCAGGGAGAATAAAATGTTGATACATTTTTAATTCCTAATCTTAGATACAGAGCTGAGGGAAATCTTAGTATCCAACAAAAGAAGACACACTTTGGGAACTGAAAAGACCCATGTAGCACCAAACACAATCAATGAGAAGTGACCCATAGCAAGCTTATCACTATGAGATTAAATAACACTTGGAGACAAAATAAGATTCCTGAGTTTTCAGAGGGAAAAAAATTCAAGATCATATGTACTTAATAGCAACACTGGGAACAGAAGACAATGGAGCAACAGTTTCAAAATTCTAAACACAAACAACTTACATAGAATTTTAAACCCAGCCAAATGAACAAATGTAAGAATGAAAAGAACAACTTTTCAGACATGTAAAGATTCATATCATTTTCCTTTCGTGTATGCTTCCTAGGTAGGGCTGTATTTGATAATAGAAAGGTATACCAAGTGAAATGAATTCCCAGGACTATAACCCTAACTTGATGGCTAGGCAGTTGGACTGGGAAAGCAAACTAAGACAGATCAAATAAAGGCCTGCTTATTAATTAGCAAGAAACAATTAGACATACCATTAGGAAAACATTTAGCCATTTACCCAGTTGTGTATTTAAATAATTCATACTACAAATTGGACCATCTAATAAGAGATGTGTCTGTCTCAAAAACCACACATTTATTAGAAAATATGATTGTTGTACAAGTGGGGACTACATTTACGGTAACATTATCAAACTATTACATGCCCATGGCATACAATGAGACCTTTTATTAAATGGAAGATTACAGAAACCCTGTAATGAAAGTATCCTTAAGAAAACCCAACAATCAAACTCCAGATGCACTCTGCACATTATCTTGTCTTTTTATTACCAAAAGTGGTATGCTTGTCTTCTTTCCATCAATCAACTACTGACCGAGAAAACACTTTACCTGGTAGTGGAACTGAATGGGCTGTAGTTGGCTATCATTCTGAGTCATCTTCTTAGCTAGGGCTTCTTTCAATGCAAGTGCTTTATTCAATTCAATCAGCTCCTTGGACATCTGAGCTTGACGTAGAGCATGTTGAGTACTGAAAACATCAGAAGACCTGCTGGTATCTGGACTGGTTTCTGCTTGCTGGAAAAAATAATGATTTTGTGATAGCTATTATTGGTTGTCAATTTGACTATATCTGGGATAAACTAAAACCTAAAAATGACTGGGAACACCTGTGAGGGATGTTTTTTGAAGTGGAGGACCCACCACTAATCTGGGCTACACCTTCAGTTGGAAGCCTCTATAAAGGATATGGAAGAGGAAAACTTGCTCTGATTTCTCCTGCACTCACTAGCAAATCCATTCCTTCACTGGCATATACTTTGCCAGGATTCTGACATATACTGAAGACCAGTTGAGACATCCAACCTTATGGACACAACAACTATAGATTCTTGGACTTTCTGTATAGGCAGCCACTGTTGGATTAGGGACCTATCTATCTGTCTGTCTGTCTGTCTGTCTGTCTGTCTGTCTGTCTATCTATCTATCTATCTATCTATCTATCTATCTATCTATCTATCTATCTCTATCATCATTCTATAAGTTCTATTACTGTAGAGAACCCTAATACAGATTTGTAAGAGAAACAAGAAGCTGGAAGATACTACTTCACTCCCCACAGCCATTTTCTCATCAGCAACACATGGGTTCTTTCACTATTAAGGTTATTTACATAATATCTGCTTAAAACACTTGGAATTAACTATGGAGCTTATTCCTTTTCTCATACACTCTCTAATATACATAAGTTTTCTTGCTCTTCCCTATACTGATCTGACAAACAACCCCTACTTTCATTTCTTATCAAGAGGCTCCTAAAAAACAGAGGACACTGGAAATGGCACTTTGGAAATGGAAAAAGAATCATTTATTCTGACACAGCTAACTTTTATTACCTAATTCATTGCCTATCTTGCTTCACTCAGAAGAAGGAAATTACTAATGTGTACTTGTTTCTGGGGTAAGAGGCTGCCTCAAGAAAACCTCTGACCAAACTTTCATTTTTTATTTACTGTATAACCTTCAGTCAAAGTTAAAAACAGATACCTTATCTATCATTGTGATCTGAACACTCAAAGCATTTTCCTTCTTTTGTTTTAGTCCATGGTCATCTCATCCATAGAAAACATATTCAGAAAATATTCTCCTCCAATGCTTTTTTGACACTGTCATAATTTGTTCCTTTCTTTGTTTTAACTTATTGGGTAATTGAAACAGAATACTAGTACCTAACAGAAAATAAGCCAGACTGAAAAATGAAACATCATGGTCCCTCAGAAGGCCTGTTGCTCATTACCAGTTAGATTATTGTATTAGATTATTACAGAGCTTATCCTTGTTTGAGGTTTTATGTCACAGATTTACTCTAAAGATCTCTGGATTTCCAGAGCATTCTATAAAGAATGGTAATAATTACAGATTCTCTTGCAGAACTGAATGATCAGTTATAGGAAGCAACAGTGAGAGGTTCCACACAAATGCATCAATTACTTACAGCGTCTGCTTCCACTGTAGAATCAATGGTTGCAGTCATGCAAGCAACAGCTTCATCCTACAGCAAAAAAAAAATGTTTTAATTTAGGGAAAAAAGTGAAGTCAAATTTACAAAACATTTTTATACTGATTATTTGATTCTTTTAGAAAAGTATATGCAGAGGTTATTTATGATACTGGACTGATTTTGTAGTCACAGATAACCTAATAGTCATGGGTTTCCATTTTCAACCTCTCAGGGACCTTTTGTTTTTCCTAAAGGGTAATTGTGTAGTCTTTGGGGAAAAATAAGATTATGTGGTAAGAGAGCAAAGGTCACTGAGCCAGAATGAAACATATAACCATTCTAACAAGTCAAAATTTAACTTATTTTATAGAGTTACATTTTATTTTTATGCTTTTACCACTGAATCTCTATTAATGTACAAGCCTAGCCACTCCTTGTGGACATACCACGAAAAAACCTCATTAAATAGTGGTAGTGCTTCAGGAAAGTGGACAAAATGAAGAGCTGGCTTTGACTTTTTTTAATGTTTTAAAAAAATGATTTAATATAAATACACGCATACATGAAAGTATATATATTTTCCTCAATATATGTTTTCATTTAAATTAGAAACATGCATGCTTCACATGTCAATCCCAGCTCCCTCTCCCACCCCTCCTCCCTTGTCCCTCCACCAGTCCCCCCAGACCCTCACCCAATCCCCACATCATTCCCCAGGCAGGGTGAGGCCCTCCTTGGGGGGGGAGGATCTCCAGAGTCTGTCATTTCATCCAGGGCAGGGCCTAGGCCCTTCCCCATGTTTGACTTTTATTAATGTCCTAGATTGAGTATGTCAGGAAAAAAATATACTCATAGTCATACAAATGTCCTGTGGTCTCTGTTCCTCACATCATATGAAGGTGCTGTTGGTAGTTTATTAGGAGTGAAAGAATAAGCACCTTGGGAGGTTAAGTTCCCTTGTAGAGAATGGCTAATCCTTTTTGGGCACTGGAACAAACACTTAGAAAGGTAACTGAAAACTACTTATTAGGACGAATTTGTTTATAGATGATCATACGAACAGTTCTTTTCGCAACCCCTGAAATTTACACTTTACTTGACACTGTAACATATACATCACTGCTTCTGCTTCAGTGAGTCTGAAGTCTTAGGAAGTTGGTTTTGTTATCAGGAAGTCATGTGGTAAAAGGGTTCATAGGCGAAAATTGTTGGATGTGAAGGAGTTTAGGGTGAGAATATACAGTATCTGCACAGCGTGTGAAACAACACAAGGTTGCAATCTTAGTACCTTAAAGGTCAGGAAATTAACCTTTATAGAGTGCTGTTTATAAAGAATTTCCCCTTTTCTGTCCAGAAATCTGTAACCAGTGAGGATCAAATAGAACTGAAAGGAAGCTCCCGTGTTCCCACATTTTTTCATCCTCATGTACAGCATTGCAAAGAGTCCAAGTGTAGGGTCCTTCTTTAAAAATGGAGTGCCAATCTAGAATTGTTAGTGGTTACTCTTTCTTCTCTCCTGTGTTCAAATTTCAGTAATATTTATGTAGCTATCATAGATTATGAGAGTTTACAACATTGTCTTCTTTGGGGGCCCCCTGTTTTTTTTAATGTAACTCAGGCAGGCCTAGAACTCATGTGGCTAACCTCAAACTTACTGTCCTGCCCTCATGTCCCAAATTCTAGGATTACAGTAGTCACCACAATAGCCAGCCTGAAGGCTTTTCATGGGCATCTGTAAGAGGATCAGGATGAAACTAGATGGTTTTGGCCCAGTGAAATTTCACAATGCCAATGCTTCGGCTCATGGCTATGGTGCTATGTTTGTATAATCAAAGAATGATTCTGTTCTCACAATTCTAAATGTATAAATATGTAAAAATAGGATTGGTTTCAGTCTACCAAGTCCTATTCTCCCCTTCTACATCCAATCTAAGGCTGTAACTTACATCTTTTAAATAAAAGGTATGATTAATTCAAGGTGACAGGGGATCAAAGACAATGTACGTTGCTTACATTAAACAGTAGAGCCTTCCAAGAAGAAGTATGTGTTTGGAAGAGACATTCAAAATACTTTTTATGGACTCTGTCTTGGAGGAGTGAATATAAACAAAAATAGTACTTGATTCTTCAGGAACTGAAATGACTGCCTGAATTTCCTCATAGGAAAGTTTGCTTAAATTATATTTTAAAGGTACAGCTTGGTACCTAAAGCCCCAGGAGCAAAGTCCAGGAACAATGGTTGCCTTCATAACTGAAAATGGGGTGTTCACCTGTCACTTAAAATAAAAATAGCTTTAATTCAGAATGAAGGGCACATGTACTTACATTTGAAACATTTTACTTTCACTGCTGCGAGTCTTAATAAAAGTCATGGGGCTACATTGTTGTGTATTTAAAAAATATGTAACTGGGAGGGTCTGCAGACAATAGAGAAGGAAAACTCTGACTCAGAAGTCCAGCAGGAGCCTTGGATAAGAGGGTTTACTCTGCTTAACTATGATGGTGGAGGGAAGCCAAGAACTTTATCAGCTTGTGGCAATCTTTAGTACTTGCCTACTGTGTGTGCCAAGTGCATTTTAGTGGCAGACAACAATTCTAGCGTTCTTCTGAGCCAGTCACTACTAAGAACGGCTTATAGGCATACCAGGCAGCAGCAACATTACCAGATCTTCATTGAGGATGGTTTATTAAGTTCATTCCATGGGCTTGCTTCATCTTTCATGAGATTCAGATCTCAAAAGTGACTTCCAAGTATAAAATCCTTTAAAGTCAGTGTGGTCATGAACACTGTTGCCCCGCACCCTTAGTTTCAGAGGCTATGAATTTTAGCTCTAGTAGGCTTCTGTACCCTATTTTATCATAATTCTGAAGCAAATCACAAGGTTTTCTTATATAGAATGTTTCAGCTATATGTAAACCTAATTAGAAGTGGTAGTATTTATCTTTGTGGTAGTCATTCTCTAGCAAGTAATGCAAATATTCCCATTTTGTAAATTTCAAATACTCTGAGCTTTTGGAAATCATTTGTCTTGCCTCAAGAAATGTTTATATGCAAATGTATAAAGGTTGAGACTGATGTTGAGAGGTTTCCCAGTGTCCATTCTCTTCAATCCTTTGCTGTCATTTCTGCCAGTGATCATAAACCATAAAGTTTGAGTAAAGCCATATTAAAGATTTATTCTTTTTTATTTTATGTGACTATTTGCCTGCACATTATGTATGTGTACCATGTGCATGCCTGGTGCCAGCAGAAGCCATCAGATACCCTAAAACTGGGAACCAAACATGGGTCCTTTGTAGGAGCAATGAGTATTCTTTAATAGGTGGCCATCTCTCTAGCTCCTAAATAAAACAAAATATTGTCACTATGTAGTATGGAGTACCTTGGAACTTGTCATGTAGACCAGGTTGCCATTGAATTCATTGAGATCCAATAGTCTCTGCCTCCCAAGTACTGGAATAAACTCAAAAATTTCTTTTCTTTTGGAAATTATTGTAAAATTATACAATTTCTCTCCTCCCTTTCCTCCCTGCAAACCCTGCCATATAGCTCCCTTTCAAATTCATGACCTCTTTTTTCATTGATTATTTACTTGCATATATGTATATGTAGACATATATATATATATATATATATATTTCTGTATATAACATGCTCATTTGTGGGATATTAATATACTGTGTGAAGATGTGCTGCAGTGATTGGTATAATAAAAAGCTGAATAGCCAATAGCTAGGCAGACAGGATAGGTGGGATTTCTGAGGAGAGAAAGGAAGAGAAGGAATCCAGGCATGCAGTAGGTGACAGGGAGATACTGAAGAGGTTGGACATACAATACAGAGTAGAGGTAACCAAGCCACATGGCAGAACATAGATTAATAAAAATGGGATAATTTAAGGTATAAGAGGTAGTGAGACAAGCCTAAGCTAATTAAATTTCATAATTAAATCAGAAGTCTTGCTGGGCCGTGGCGGCACAGCTGGGCAGTGGTGGCACACACCTTTAATCCCAGCACCCAGGAGGCAGAGGCAGGTGGATCGAGGCCAGCCTGGTCTACAGAGCGAGTTCCAGGACAGCCTCCAAAACAATACAGAGAAACCCTGTCTCAAAAAACCAAAAAGAAATCTCTGTGTTATTATTTGTGGGCTGGCAGTACCAACAAGAAAGTACTATTCCACTTCTCAGTCTCCATGTTACTTGAATATATGCTTTCATGGCTAATCATTTGGTATTGGACAAGCAATTGGTGTGCTTTTCCTTGGGCAAGACTATTTCTCCCACTCCAGAAATTCCTTAGTTGCCTATAGTTCTCTGTGTAGAGTTGAGGCCTCCTAGGCTTTCTTCAACCCTCTTCAAGGAAACTTCTCTTTTGAAAAGAGGTCCAGGCTGGACCGACAGCCTCCAAAACAATACAGAGAAACCCTGTCTCGTAAAACCAAAAAAAAAAAAAAAAGAGGTCATTACAGAAAATTATGACCAATCAAAATGCAGAGTTGTGGAGGCCAATCTCAATGGATTCATTTACAAAACAACTCCTGCATGCAAAGCTCAGGGAACACTGTAGAAGAGGACATGGAAAGCTTGTAAGAACCAGAGGATTGGGGAGTTTGATGTGAGACTATGTCTGCTAGGAATGGAAGAAGCTACACCGATAAAGTCTCAATAAAAGTAATTAGACAACTTCCAGAAAGGGATTGCATCAGCATGCTGCCAAGGAAGGGACATGAAAATTGGAGCAACCAAGAGTTTCACACCAGTTCACAACACAAGGATACCACACACAAACACACACACACACACACACACACACACACACACACACACACACACACACCCCTTTTTTCTTTTCACCCTATATAGCTTCAATCTTTGGGAAGTTATGTGGTGTTTAAGTCCTCCCCATAAGTGCTTAAACTGAAATAATGTCTTTAGCCTTAACCTAAGTCACTTAGGACTATTTCTTTCTGGCAGTAATACATTTAGTAAGGGTACATAAGTAGAAAGTGGCAGAGCAGGTTCTAAGTCAGAGTATTCCTGACTCTGCAACTTAAGTTCTCTGTTACTGTGCACTGTTTCTTAGATAAGTAAATCACAGTTTTGATCGTAATTTTCTATAGCATCTCTCATTCTAAAACATGGTCTAACGTTTTTAGAGATGTTTACTTACTTATTTTAGAACTGACCACCATAACCTAATAATACCACATTTTTTCATTTACTCTTTAAATTTCTTGGATGATTTTTTTTGAGACAGAGTTTCTCTGTGTAACAGCTCTGACTGTCCTAGAAATCATTTTATAGACCAGGCTGGCCTTGAACTCACAGAGATCCTCCTGCCTCTCCCTCTAGAGTGCTAGTATTAAGGGCATGCACCACCACTACCAGGCTCTCTTGGATGATTTTGTCATAACATACTGAAAACTCTAGAAAAAACAAACTGGCAAGACCAGAGACGGGAAATTCACTGTTCTAGGAGAATATAAACCTATTCCTAAGAGGCAGGAATTTCTATCAGGCAGTTACAAATTTATTTATGCTACAGAATAATAAATTGAAGAATGTAAATGGAAAACACCCTAAACACAGACTCTTAAAATAGGACCTCCATCCATAAAACACATCTACAATAAGACCTCTGCTGTGTGTGTGTGTGTGTGTGTGTGTGTGAGAGAGAGAGAGAGAGAGAGAGAGAGAGAGAGAGAGAGAGAGAGAGAGAGAGAGAGAGAGAGAGAGAGAGAGAGAGGAGAGAGAGAAGCATGTCTTAATCTCATATCTATTGTGATGATAGGATTATAGGTCTGCGCTGTCACAGCTTCGTATAATACAGAAATGTGTGTGTGTGTATAAATATATATATATATTAATGTTCAGATCATATTCAATGTTTCATGATGTCTGTCTTCAAAGAGTTCAGTTTAGCTATTCCAGGAAAAGTTCACGGACTTAGAAATGTGTATATACCTCAAAAAATGAAAATGAATGAAAGTGACAGGCCTCTTACAGTACACCTACTTACTTGGCTTACAGATAGCTGAGTAATCACTTGTTGTAGATTGCAAATTATCTCTATGTTTTCTTTTAATTCCTGGTCTTCCAGTGTCTCTACTAGCTTTTGAAGATCCACTTTACAACTAAAAATTCAAGCAAAAGAACACAAGGGTTAATCATACCGCAAAGGCCAGATTACATATGGAGATAGTTTAAGTTTTTAAGAAATATCTCACTGAAAACTTACGCTGCATGCTGCCTGAGTTCTTCTAGCTTGGCATTCATTTTCTCATTTGCTTGCTCCGTCTGCAACAAAAACCCAGGAGATCATCAGTTAAAGCACCTGACAGCTTCAGCTACTTATGCTCTCTCCTCTACTCTGTGGATGAAAACCTAGGTAGAGAGCTGCCTCTTTTCCTGTAATAGAGTACTTGGTGGATTTTGGTTATATATTAGGAATGGTGGTTTTTAGCCTTCATGAAAACTAATCCTAAAGTTAACACGAGGTACTAAAACCAACAGCTAAGCAGCTGGATTTTATGCTTGCCATGAAGCTCGGGCTATGGGGTAGAGTGTGAAGCCTTGATTCCAGAAAGAACTTTGCAAGTTGAGGAAAAACAGTATTTCCTGGCATGTCACCCCCTGCTGTTTCAACTGCCTCCTACACTGTACTTTTCAATTTACTTTATCTTTCATGTATATGAGTGTTCTGCCTGCATGTATGTGTGCACATCATGTGTGTGCCGTGATTAGAGAGGCCTCAACAGAGCCTTGCTGAGATTGGAGTTACAGAAAGTTGTGAACCACCAGGATCTCTGCAAGAGCAACAACTACTCTTAACTGTTGAGTCAACTCTCTGGCTCAGCATTTAGAGAAGCAGTTCTCAACCTGTGGGTAGAAACCCTTTTGAGGGTTGAATGACCCTTTCACAGAGGTTGCATATCAGATATTTACATTAAAATTCTTAACAGTAGCAAAATTACAGTTAAGAAGTAACAATAAAAGTAAGCTTATGGTTGGGGTCACCATAACGTGAGGAACTGTATTAAAGGGTAGTAACATTAGGAAGGTAGAGAACTATTGCTTTAGAACATTTTAAAAAAACATATCAATTTGAGCTGAGAGTTTAAAAAATTACACTGTCTGATATGGTAGGCTATTTTTAATAAGAGGAAGAATGAAAAAAGTAAGGCACAAGAATAATGTAAGTGAAAAATAAATGACAAAAGGCATCTATGTTTTAGGAAGAATGATTATTTCAATCACAGAACTCACGAGAACCTGGATGCTGCAACAGATTTGGCAAACACAGCTCTGACAGGATATAAAACAATACACTTATCAGGAAGCCATTGTAATAACCTTAGAAAGGTCATATAGGTATGTGACTAGCATAACAAGTATCATCTATGTGTCAGCCATGCTCACATACATACCAAACATAGCTATTCTAAAGATATAAAATTTGGCACTGGAATAAAAAGTAAAACTCTCTTAGATCCCACTAGCACCTTTTGCTAGTAGAGGACAATATAATGGCCATAGGATTTGGCTATTTCTAAAGAAGACTCTTTGGAGCTTCCTTCTCCTTAACTAGAGAACACTCATGCATCAAGTGTTTACATTACAGAGGTGCAGTTACATTTTGGTAGAAACTGTTTCACTTCTGGCAATAGTTGTACAATCTAAGATTTGAATTGTACTTAGGCTAGTAGGAAAACTGTACTAAGAGAGCCAGCATGCATTAATCTAAGCGATTATAATCAGACAGACAAGTAGGATTTCAAAGTGGTGAAATAAGTCACGTAGCAAACTACTTATTTGGAAATTAACCATATGGAAAATTAATTCAAATGATTTCCCCAGCTGTTATATTTCACCATGGCAGCTGTTAAGATGGAATATGAAATGTGAGAGCATTGGGGAAGGGAGTGAGAGAATTTAGAGCTTAATGAAGAACAGTTACTTGGCATATGTGGAATATTCCTTTACTACAATTCTTGGGACCAGAAAGTGCTTCAGGTTTCAAATGCTTTGCAGATTTGGGAATATTTGCATATCTGATGAGATATCTCAAGGATAAGACCCAAGTCTAAACATGAAACTCATTATGCCTCTATCACACACATTTTGTAAACATAGTCTGAGAGTGGACACGTACTTAAGACATTGTCTCCTGTAGGCCAAGCAGGCTTCAAACTCATAATGTAGCTGTAGCTCTAATCCTTAGCTCTCTACATGCTAAGTGCTGGGATGACAGGAGTACAGGAACCCTACTAACTGAGCCATTATCTTCCCCACTCCAACTTTATACAATATTTTCACTACAAGTTCTTCAACTTTTCTTTAATTTTGACCTATCACATAAGGTAAGAGGAGAACTTTCCATGATAGTGACATCATGTCAGTGCTAGAAGAGTTCAATTTTGAAGCACTTCTGATTTTGGATTAGAGACACTCGCTCAAGCTGCATTGTTGATAACAATTAGGCAGGATTTGTGGTTATACAGGGATTTGCTTCTTTCTTTTGGGGCATTTTATGACAACTCTTTTAAAATGGGATTGGTGTAGATTCATTGCAACATGCTGTATGAATTTCTTTTACAATAAGAATCATGTTAAATATTTTAGAGACTGAAGTTAATAAACGTTCAGAGTGTTGGTATTTGAATTTTGGGGCCTCACCAAAATGATCCTCTCTAACATCTGGGCTGTCTGACCAGCTGCCTCACTTAGACCACGACTTAATTTTTCATTCTCTTCCACCAGAGACTGATTCTTCTCCATCAGGGACTGTAGATTTTCTGATGGTTCCACACTAAAACGAAGAAAGTACAATTTTAGAAAAATACGTTTGATGGCCTGATTAGGGTAAAACTATATTACAAAACACCAAGGAAAGTGCCCAACCCCTATTTATTCTCCCAGGTTTGCAGTATATGAATGGATAGATTAAAAAACACTCAAGTACTTAATAATTTGAAAGAAGTAACAATTCAGAACTACACTGTAATAAGCACAAATAACTTCTTTTGTTTTTTTTTGAAACAGGGTGTCTCTGTGTAGCCCTAGCTGTCCTGGAACTCACTCTTTAAACCAGCCCGGCCTTTAACTCACAGAGCTCCACTTTCCTCGGCCTCATGAGTACTGGGATTAAAGGAGTGTGCACCACCACTGCCTGATTTCATGATTAACTTTTGTCATGGATCATAGTATAGGATTTTTCCATTGGTGTCATGTAGTTTAAAATGTGAAAGCTAACTATCTAAAATTCACATCCTCCCATTCTTCCTACCCTTGACCCCTCCTTAAGACTTAAAGGGGTTGTGCAGATGACTCAGTGAATAAATGCTTGCTCTTCAAGCACAGTGACCCAAGTTTGGAACCTCAGCACCCTTGTAAAAAAAAAAGCAAGGCATAGCTGAATATGGCTGTGATTCTAGTGCTAAGAGGCAGAAACAGGTAGACTCTGGATCTCACTGGTAGCTAGTCTAGTCAATCAATGAATTCCACGTTTGGTGAAAAAATGCTGTCACAAAAAGTTGAGAGGGGCTGGGCAGGTGGCTCAGTGATTAAGTGAGCACGGTGCTCTTGCAGAGGACAGCAGTTTAGATCCCAGAATCTACATCAGGCACCTCACAACCAACTACCTGAAACTCTAGTTTCAAGGAAACCAATGCCCTCCTTCAGTGTCCAGTGCACCAGCACTCACATGCACAAACACATACACAATTACACATAAGGAAAAATAATGAAACTAAGCTGAGAAATAGGTGGAGTGCTTATAGAAGAAGGTACCTGATGCTAACCTCTTACTTCCACACATGCATGCATGCGTTTCTGTACTTGTGCAAACATGCATACGCATGCACACACACACACACACACACACACACACACACACACACACACACAGAGAGAGAGAGAAAGTAGTGCTCAGAGAGCAGCTGTTCACAATCTCAGTGAAGGACATAAATGATTTCAGGAATACAACCCAAGCCCTCTCACCCAGCCTTAGATCCCCATCAATCTCTAGAGAGCTTAACTCTCAGCTTGCTCTTTATCAAAAAGTTAATAGCAAGGCCACAGGATAAGGTTTCATATGACACTGTTAAGAGTTCACCAAGACTCTTAAGAAGGAATGTTTTAATTCCCAAGAATAGTTTCAAAAACAAAACTATTAACATGCGTGGCATAATTTTATAGTGCTGTTTTTTATTCCCTTATCATTAAATTGAAAACTTCCATGTGACTCATGTAAACCAAGAAGCTTCAAAGTAATGATACTTCTAATTCAATATTTTTTTCTAAAATATTTCCCTATGTGGAGAAATCCTACTTAAGTGAAGTGTTCATTTTTCTAAGAAAAATTTAGTACTTATGAGAAGGTTCTTCACTGTAATTTGAGATTAATGCCAGAATATTTAAATGCTACTTGAATACCATGTGCTAGGCTCTATAGTAAATATTTATGTATATTAAACATTTCATTCTCACAATAGCCCCATTAAGAAGGTTCTTTTTTGATCCTCATTTCACGGTTGAAGAAACTGAAATACAAAGAGGTTAAATAAGTCAAGATCAAAGAACTACGGGGATTTGAAGTCAGCATTCTAGTTTCAGAGGCCACATCAACTACTGTGCCAAGTGTACACTGTGAATATGTATTACTCTCCTTGTCTAATGAAGAACTGACTGGCCTAGAGCTGGGCAGGAAGATACTGGGTAAGTTAGTCAGACTAGGAGAATTCAGGGATGAAGGAGGGCAGAATCACGGAGGGTTGCAAGGAGATGCAGAGAGAGCAAGACGTGGTGGAGGACAGTAAAGCCTTGAGTCACATGGCAATGCGTAGATTAATAGAAATAGTGAATTTAAGTTGTAAGAGCAGTTAGTAATAAACTTGAGCTATCAGTAGAGCATTTGTAATTAATATTAAGTCTTCATGTCAGTTATTTGGGAAGTGACTAGACAGAAACTTATACCATCAGGCAGTGAAGATCCACAAAAAACCTGAGAAAATTTTAAAAAGGTTCTAAATACACAAAAAGGAGCCAAACTTGGCTTCCTAGTCTCCTGTCTCTTAGGCTAGCCACAATACAGAGACTCTCCCAGTCCCTGCCTGCGGACTTGAGCTGTCAGCCTGAGCCCTGCCAGTACACCATGAGCTTAGCCACACAGCAGGTTCCTGCATAGAGAGAGGCATCTTTCAACCACTACCTGTGGCCTTGAGCTGCCTGTATGGCATGTGTACTGTTTTGCTCATGCAAGAAAAGATTACCTTTAAACGGAATACAGTATGTTTAAAAATATACATATGCTTAAGAGAGAAAAAAGAAGGTATAAAAAAGTATAACAAGTAAAACAGGTATGAAAAATAGTTTTAAAATAATAAAATAAAGTCCTTAAAAGGGAATAAAGTAATGACAAATAAGCCATGTAAAAATGGAAAATACACAGAGAGTCTAGATTCTGTATATTATTGTGTTGTCTTTAGATTTTGTGATTGCTAATAAAGAAATAACAGGGGCTAAGACACATTTGATTATGAAAGCTGCTAGATTAAACCAACCCAGATATTTTAAAAATGCCTTGACTTCAAAATTTAAGTCAAAAGATATGTTACTTTGTAGAAGAGGTTATGTTTTTATTTCCACAGGAAATGAGAAGCTGTAGGTTAAAGAAAATCATATTTCATTGGGGAAGATCCCCGAAATCCTGGCTATAGACCTAAGAAAAGTAAACCTGGAAGAACTACAAGACACATAATGTATATTTTGCATGTTTAAACATAAAGCAAAAATCACCCTTAATTGACTTGTACTCACCACATATTTCATACTTATAATGTACACATTATATTCAAAAGCTTATGTATTTCAGAACAAGAGAACCAGACACCAATAAAAACAGATGATCCACCATCTCAGATCACCTCTGTTACAGTCTCCTAAAAATTCTGCATCTAGAACAGCTTCAAGATTGCTGGCTGATGGTCCAGCCTTACAAGCTATTCCAGTCAAGAGCTAACAATTATCCTGATTTTCTCAAGATTCCCCAAAGATGTCAGCACTCACAAACAACATAAGTAGTCTAGGGAACAATGCCCACATTCCCCCGAAATGGGCTATGTTTATTATCATTTAAGGGGGGGCTTGGTGTAACACAAAAAAAATAAAAAGACCCAGAGACTGATATTGGGGTTCAAGCTTTAAGGTGAATATCAGAAAAGCAAAGCAGCGAAGTCACTGGCTCTTACCACTACCTCAGCTGAAAGGGCTGATCGCGGCTCCACCAAACCTCAGACTGCTATGCTTTCTTCAATGTGGCTGGAGAACCCTGAGATTTCAATGTCTTCCTATCCTCAGTGTGGCTAGAGAATAAATTCCACCTATCTTCAGCATGGCTGGAGAATGAATGCCTCCTATCCTCAATGTGGCTGGAGAATGAATGTTCAATAATGAGACCTTGCTCCTGTCTTATATACCTCACTAATGCTGCGATCATCTTTGTGTGAGCTGTTTCTCTTCAGGACTGATCAATCTTAGGTAGATCCGTCTACCTCTTAATACTGAATCCTAGGATTAAACGAGTGTAACACCACCTCCCAACTTCTAGCTGCTGGGATTACAGGTATGTATCACCACTGCCTTATCTTTATAGCTTAAAGCTGACTTTGCTTTGTGAATCCTCAGGCAAGCTTTAATAAATCATAAATAATATATCACTACAGGTTGGTTACAAGCTGTTATTGGAAATGGTCAGGAAAAAAGCTTAACAAAGGAAATTAGATGCAAGGATTTCTTTCTGAAAAGAAAAAGGCGGGATACAGAAATGATAGAAAGGGTAGATTATTGAATCTACTTTTAAACTAAAAAGAAACAACTACTAATTTCAAAATAGTTTACACTGGTATGGATTTTTGTATAGTGATACAAATTGAAAGTTAATTTTGTTATACTGCATGTATATTTCTACTCTTTTTTGGGGTATTATGTTTATGCAGTTTATTTAAAATGTAATATATAACTAAGAAATACAGACTAATAGCCATCTATAATAGTCAAACTTATAGCCATATAGGTGTTTTCAAGGTCATACATGGATACATTTAGATAGGAAGGTGGTCTTCAAACACTTCAAAGATCTACAGAATATGGCATTTAATATATTTAATAACCTAAGGCTTTTCATGACAGCACCAATCTACTCCATAAAAGGATGATGGGCACTGAAGAACCTCTGTATGGAGTTTGCCTTATAGCAAAAGCTGGACATAAAACTGCCCTTGCCTAAATTGCTGACAGTATACTGTCCAAACTGGACCAGAAGGATACAAGAAAAAAAAAAAGGCAATTGCCAAACTTTGCCAAGACAAGGTAGGACAGGCCTTCAGAATTTCCTGCTTCTCAGAAAAGTCTATCAGATATCCTAGGCCCATGTGCCAAAGTTAGATGCCCCAATGTTATAGAAGAACCTAAGGTGATTGTCCAGATAGCCAGATGTCCCTGTCATTAGTAACATTTCACCCTTCTGGGGTCTTTGATGGAGTTGAAGGCTATACTGTTATAATTATTTTCCTTATTTATGATGAAAAGGTAAATTAGAGGTAAAACTTTAGATTCACCAAAAGAAGGTAGACAATTGAGTATTTTCTCTAATTTTGGCAAAAACAAATGTACTGGATATTATAACTGTACTTTTTACTAGATAATTGTTTTTGTTATATATATATATATATAGCTTTACTATGTTAAAGTTAAAACCTTCCTTTTAAACTAGACAAAAGGGGGAGATGATGTGGAATAATCCTTCTGTATACTGTGAATATGTATTACTCTCATTGATTAATAAAGAACTGACTGGCTTTGGCTGGGCAGGAAGAGATTGGGCTTGATAGCCAAACTAGGAAAATTATGGGATGAAGAAGCACAGAGCCAGGGAGAGTCATCAGGAGACAAAGAGAGAGCAAGACATGCTAGAGGACAGTTTGCCTGAAAATCAGAGTACGCTAGTTTAGCCACACACCTAAGTTAGCCATATTGAAGAAAGGCAGTGGTGGTCACACCTTTAATTTCAACACTTGGGAGGCAGAGGCCGATAGATGGATGTCTGTGAGTTCAAAACTACCCTGGCTACACACACACACACACACCAAACAAACAAACAAAAAACAAAACAAAACCCAAACAACAATAACAAAAAACCCGTAAACCAAGAGAAAAAATAAAAGACTAGTGATAAATTAGAAATATTTGTAACACTAGGGACTAATATAATATGCAAAGAACTCATTTAAAAATGCAGGCCCAAATTAGGGTTTGCTATCATTTAAGAAGTATGAAAATAAGTGTTAGTGAGAAGATGAAGAAACTGGAAGCTTTGTCTACTACTGGAAATTCTGCATTCTTACATACAGTATGGTAGTTTATAAACACTATGGTAGTTTAGTTACAAAACTAAATGTAGAATTAATACATGATTTAGCTACTTTTTAAATTTTCTTTATAATTTATTCTTTTAAATTTCATTTTACATTCCAACCACTGTTCTCCCTCTTGACCCCACCCCTGCTTCCTCCCAGCCCATCACCAATCCACTCATCCTCATGGGTAATTATAGGTATATACTCAAGGGAATTGAAAGCAATGGTACACCTGCTGTTTGAGCTCATTAGTTGGTCAGAGCTGCAGGAAAGGGACCAAGGTTAAGTGTTTTGGAAATGGATGAACCAACTGCTACAAGTAGAAACATAGGTGAGACTTCCTTTCCTCCCTAGGCTGGGTCTGAGGCTTTGAAATTGGGAAGAGAAGTAATAAACTACCAGGAAAGGCAGTACTAGTATCTGTTTCTTGTCTGATCATTTCTCTCCTGGGTGATATCTGATATTGGATCTTGAGGCTGATGGGAACATGGAGTTCTACTTGAGTTGTTTGTGACAATTTGATGCTGGGGGTTTCTCAGTCCCTGGGACAGGCTCTAGATTAGGTTCTAAGGGTAGGCCTGAAGGCTGCCCATCCAGAAGTTTGTCAATTTGTACTGTAGCACTTTCTACTTTTGGGAGTGGTGAGCTCATCTTTGCAAGTGAACTATGCTGTTAACTTACACAACTGATGAGCTACTGTACAGGCACAAAAATGTGTACATTTATCCTTATGTTTCCCTGATTTTCTACTCAGTCCCATGTCATCAGGCTGTGCAGTTTCCCCTATATTCCCTGATCCCTGTGATGTCATGCTTGAATGGCCTTCCTAGAAACATCTTGAAATACTAGGAAAGATGGATTTCTTTTTCCCCTCTTAGAATCAGTCTTGGGAATTCTCTATGTCATTATGTGCTAACTTGGGAGAAGTGGTAACACGGTCAAAATGAAACTTTTCCTCTTATTCTCATATCCATTCAGATTTTTCTTGACACAGGGTCTGACTGCATAGTCCTGGCTGACCTGGAACCCACAGAGCTACATAGCCTAGGCTGTCCTGGAACTCAACAGATCTCCACCTGCCTCCATCTCCCAAGTGCTTGAATTAAGGGCCTGTACTAACATGCCTGCACTCCATGCATACTTTGAATTTCCAGTTCCATGGATCATGCCAGGAAACTCAGGCTTATATCTTATGGGGGTTCTCATTAACATAGTTTTGTTTGTGGACAGTTGTTAGGTGAGCCTTCTGTAAGGAAATCTAAAGTCTAGGGACTTCTATGTGCACATCACTAAGCACATTTTTTAAGTTAATCAGTTAATAAACATATGGTTTATTTCTACTTTTAGCTATTGTGAATAGTGCCACTATGAGCATAGTTGTGAAAATATCTCTTTGAGAGCCCACTTTCAATTCCTATGGATATATACCCAGAAGTGGAATTGCTGGGTCATATAATAGGCCAATTTTTAATTTTTTTAAATTTCCATATTTTTCTATAGTTGAAATAATATCTTACAATGGAGTACACAGGGGCTCCATTCCATTCCTCTTATTTTTCCAAATACTTTGTGTGTATGCATGTGTGAGTGTTAACAGGTCTCATCCTAAAATGTATGAAATAATAATTCATTAGTATTTTCATTTGCATTCTCTGCTCTATTTTTGCAAAAGTCTTGACTCTTAGATCCATTAGAATATTTTTTTTTGGTTTTTCGAGACAGGGTTTCTCTGTAGCTTTGGAGGCTGTCCTGGAACTCACTTTGTAGACCAGGCTGGCCTCGAACTCACAGAGATCCGCCTGCCTCTGTCTCCTGAGTGCTGGGATTAAAGGTGTGCGCCATCAACGCCCGGCTAGAATATTTTATATACGCAAATAAACAACAAGTAAAATCAATATGTAGGGGAAACCCAAATGAAATTCAAATAAGGGTTACTCTATGCCGGAAAAAAAGAAAAAAAATGCCAAATACATGTTAAGATATAGCTCATGAAAATGTTTCTCATAGGCACAAGGATTAGTGTTTCTGTTCTGGTTAGTTTTATGTCAACTTGACACAAGCTAAAGTCATCTGAGAGGAGGGAGCCTCAATTGAGAAAATGCCTCTATAAGACTGGGCTCTATGCATGCTATAGGGCATTTTCATAATTAGTGGTTAATGGAGGCAGGTCACGGTAGGTGGTGCCATCCCTGGAATGGTGAACCTGGGTTCTATAAGAAAGCAGGCTGAGCAAGCCATGAGGAGCAAGTCAGTAAGCAGCACACCTCTGTGGCCTCTGCATCAGTTCCTGACTCCAGGTTCCTGCCCTGTTTAGAGTTCCTGTCCTGACTTCCTTCAATGATGGACTATGATATAGAAGTATAAAGCAAATAAGCCTTTTCCTTCTCCAACTGCTTTGGTTATAGTATTAGTTTTAGTTGGTAACCTTAACTAAGCCAGTTTCTGACACTGCTTTATGTATATACCAGAATAGAATGTATAGATAAGCCCCTAGTGTGGGGCAATTCAGATTCAGAATCCAACACTTGGGGTGGCTGTTAGGCTCTTTGGGGGAGCTCAGCCTAGAGATAGTAAGTTCAAAGACCTATATCACTTCATGGGTGTGGGAATGAAGGGAGGAGTTCAGATCAACACTCCTTAAGAATGTGGCTGGGAGAATGATTCACTGAGGAGTTGAAGACTGTTCCCTGCTGGATTCAAGATGTACTGTAAATCTGTTACTAGGAACATCAGTAGCTGATAGAGTTGAAAGGAATTGGTGGAGTTGAGAAGGAAAGGTCAATTTAAAGTTAGTCATATATGCACTCGGGAGGCAGAGGCAGGAGGATCTCTGTGAGTTCGAGGCCAGGCTGGACCGACAGCCTCGAAAACAATACAGAGAAATCCTGTCTCGAAAAAAAAAAGTTAGTCATATATGTAGCCTTTCTGGACTTTTAAAAATATTTAGGCATGCCGGGCGGTGGTGGCGCACACCTTTAATCCCAGCACTTGGGAGGCAGAGGCAGGCGGATCTCTGTGAGCTCGAGACCAAGCCTGGTCTACCAAGCGAGTTCCAGGACAGGCTCCAAAACAATACAGAGAAACCCTGTCTCGAAAAACCAAAAAAAAAAAAAAAAATTTAGGCATACTCAGGGTACAATTAAATTCATGCATTTAAGATGTTAAAAAATACACTGAACCCTATAGTGTTAGAATGGAATCAAGACTTACTAGTAGAAAACTGTGGTTTTTAATATACATACAATACAGATACAAAAGTGTAGATGACTGCATGTGTCGGTTACTTTTTAAAAGATTTATTTATTTGTTTATTTTGTATATAGTGTTCTGCCTGCATGTATCCCTGCAGGCCAGAAGAGGGTACCAGATCTCATTACAGATGTTGTGAGTCATCGTGTGGTTGCTGGGAATTGGACTTAGGACCTATGGAAGAGCAGCCAGTACTCTTAACCTCTGAGTCATCACTCTAGTCCATGTGTAGGTTATTATACATGCAAGTATCTCTGAATTCTACCTACCATGAAGGCTCAGGGACAGTGACACCCCAGGAACAGTGAACACAGTTAGGAAAACCAAACAGATCTTGTTTCTAAACACCATTTTCCAATAGAAGAAACCAAATTTCCTTGGAGATATGGTTCATTTCAGGCCCAGAGCAAAGTGAATCATTTGTAATATCTAGTTTAAATGCTCAAATACTTGAGGACTTGTTAATAAGAGTCAATCTTGGGGAGCTCTGAATGAACAAAGAAATAAACCAAATAATAGCATTGGATGTTAACCCAACAATAAAATAAATATTCATGCACACACACACACATACACACACACACACACACACACACACACACATATATATATATATATATAACTAAGTTGACAAATAAGTTGATGGCAGAGACAGCTCTTCCTCAAAGGAATATTCTAATTAATATATTTCTGAGTCTAGAATCTATTTTATTTCCATTATACCAGGTTATTTCAAGGATAATTACTTAAGTCCTAAGTAATCAGCAAGGTTGGCAGGATCACTTCCTGGGCATCAAGTGGTCTGAGAAACTACAGGCTATCAGAAGAAAACAGCCACCAGGGAAAATAGCCTCTAGAAGAATACACCTTTAAAATTAATAAGTGACTTACTTTATATTTTCAGGCAAGGTACCTCCGTGAGCTTGTAGCAACAAGACCTGCAGTTGTTGGACCTGGGAGAAGCAATGAAGATAATCAGCTAGTTTCCAATCAAAAGCTACCTATTACCTGGTATGGTGGCATGAATATGTAATTTCAGCACTTGAAAAGCTAAGGATGGAGGATCAAAAATTTGAGAGCTTGGCCTTAAACCTGGGTAACCTGGTTGTAGTGCCAGTGCTCTTAATATGATACCCTGCTATTAATGCTGTTTCTTCCCCCTAGAACTCTTGCTTATACCCCAATTTATAATGATATGTTTTAGTATTGCCTCTCAATTCCAGACAATAAGTTCCAAAAGGCAGAAATTATGGTTTTTTTGTTCAGCAATATCTCTTAGCATAGTACCTGCCATATAACCGTTAGATAAACATTTACTGTTGGAATGAATAAACAAGTAAGTGAATAGAAAGATGGGCATTTTTGCCAATAGAAAAAGACATAAAAGAAAATAAGGGGACAGAATTGAATGTGATATTTAATGATTCAGAAGACCCAACAGGCAGATAACTACTTGTATTCACTACAGAGACCCCCTGAAGAAGCAAAATGAAGGAAAGAGATTAACTATATAGTTATTATCACCGGAGGGAGGCTGCAGAAGGAGTGAGCACTAGACAGTTAGAAAACAATTCCAAGTGGAAATCAAGTCCTCTTTTCTCCAGCATGCAGGAAAACTTGACTCTTAAACCTGCATCAACAGAGCCAAGATGGTAATGTACACCTAATCTGAACATTTGAGAGACAGAGGCAGGCTGATCTATGTGAATTTGAAGCTATCTTGGTTTACATAGTGAGTCTATGCTAGTCAGAGCTACATAGTGAGACCCTGTCTCAAAATAAACCAAAGCAAAGCAAAACACAAAAACTCCACATCAATATCTGAGCATAGTGATGTTCGCCTGTAATCCCAGCACTAAGGACACGGAAGAGGATCATTAACTACATAAATGGTCCAAGGTCAGTCTGTGCTACATTATGCTACATGAGTCTGTCTGAAAAAACTAAACCAACAAGCCAAAATCCTGAAAACCTCTCATATCAATACAATTCCTGCCTTCTAAGTTCCTGTACTGACTGTGAGCTGTTCTATAGTTATATTTATGCCACCACAAATTTACATGGAGTCAGATATCTTTCCATTTCTGTTGCCAGTGATTTTAAACCATGTGTTCTTGTCAAGCCCTCTCCCTATCCTATTAGCCAACTGCAGGCCGTTAGAAGATGTTCTGTCCTTAGTTCCTGTTCTCCTTCCCAGTTTCTCCTGATTAGTTCTTTCCTTTACTCAAGGCCCTCCCATATTTAAAAAAACAAGCTTCTACATCTTTGCCCTTGATTACCTGGCCATTGCCTTTTCTCATTGTGTCTCCTTGAATGAAAAAACATTCATCTATCTATCTATCTATTTATCTATCTATCTATCTATCTATCTATCTATCTATCTATCTATCTATCTATCTATCATTCCCTGCCTAGCTCTTATCACTCCCTTGACTTCACAGTAGTTCCCAACAACTTCCCTGTAAATTAAAAAAAAATCAATGGATACTTTTCATCTTTATACTTCTTTGTAAATTTGTTCTTATGGAGACACTCCTTGAAATGTTCTTTCCTTGGTTTTGGTGACACATTGGCTTTCTTCCTTTTTATTCTTATCTGCTTCTGCTTTCTCCATTATTTAAGAGCTGGTATCCTCATGTTGTATGTCTGAACCTCTTCATTTGGTTCTTTAGTAAACATTCAGTGAGTACGCTTAATGTGACAAACACTGTTCTCATCTACTCAGTAATTCAGATATCATCTAAATTCTAATACTCTTAAATTTGCCTCTTTACTCTTCACCTGAGACCCTCTACATCAAGCCCATGTAGTATTTCTGTACACATTTCTCAAACACCTTTCAAATTCAAAATGACCCAAACTAAATATACCGTTCTGTGCAACTCTGGTTTTCCTTCATCAATATGACTTTATTTATAATCCAAGTAAGAAACTTGAAAACCAAACTTGGCTCCTCCTACCCACTTCTTTTCCTACATTAACTCTGCAACAAAGCAAAACCCCATAAACTTTACTTTTTCTTGCTCTTTGTCCTTTAATCTGTAGCCTTTCCTTCATCTCTATTGCTACCATCTTCAGTTCAGACCATAGTTCTCACTCACGTTATTACAAACCCTGGTTTATTTTCTTCTTTCCAGCCATAGCCACCTTTCATCTGTTTTCGGTGTACAGAAAACAGATTTCCCTCAAACACATTTCATCATGTTATTCTCTTACTTAAAATCTGTAGCTCTGAATACTTTCCGGTTCCAAGCTCTTCAACAGAACATATTGAGGAACTTCAAGATTTGGCCCTTACAAAATGTTATTGCTTCATCTTCTACTACTCTTCACCTTTTTTTTTTCAAGAGAGGGTTTCTCTGTGTAACAGTCCTGGCTGTTCTACAACTTACTCTGTAGATCAGGCTGGCCTCGAACTCACAAAGACCCACCTGCCTCTACTTCTGCCTCCTGAGTGCTGAGATTAAAGGCATGTGCCACCACCGCTTAGCTTACTCTTCACTTTTGTATCAGTAAAACCCCCAGCGGCACCCCAATATTAAGTGGATAGCAAATACAATATTTGGATTTATTTAAGAAGTATAAATAAGCCGGGCGTTGGTAGCGCACGCCTTTAATCCCAGCACTTGGGAGGCAGAGGCAGGCAGATCTCTGTGAGTTCAAGGCCAGCCTGGTCTACAAGAGCTAGTTCCAGGACAGCCTCCAAAGCCACAGAGAAACCCTGTCTCGAAAAACCAAAAAAAAAAAGTATAAATAAAACAAAGAAATAGAAGCTCTATCATTACATTCACATATTTGTAACTTTCCTATAAAATCTTATACCTGTTGCTTAAGATGATTAAGTTCAGCTGCCTGCGGATCAATATTAATAATAGGTTTGTTCTTGATTTTTCTTGCTCTGTCAGCATAGCGAAGGGTATTTAATGTTTCCTCTAGATTGGAATCAGCAGGACTCACACAGGCTATCATAAGAGTATGGCTATTGCCTCCTAGAGAATCTGAAAAAGAATAAGGGATAATGAAAGGAAATGAAATCAAACAAGTAGATGCAAGCAAAAGCTGCCTATTTGAACTGATGGCTTCAAATTCATAGATGAAAGAAAAAAATTCTTAGTGACATCTGATTTGGTTTTAATTTTATTTTTCAGAACTATTTGGCTTTAATTCTAAAACAATCCTAATTACTTTTTGAGAATTTCACACACGCATACAACACCCCACCCCTCCCAGATCTACCCACTAACTCTTCCTAATTTCATCCTTTTTTATAGTTCACTGATTAAAATTTATGCTGCAATATACTCATGGGTGTGGGGTCATCTACTGTGATATCTACAAATTTTTGATTTGTTTCAATATAATAACAGCAAAAATTCAGAGTGTAAAATGATAGAGATTTAGAATCCAATTTTCTATGTCACCATACTCAAGAGAAACCATGATTTCAGCAGTTAATCAGGTTTAAAACAATCAGGCCTGCCTGGTCCAGGTCCACCAGAAGCCTCTGCCAGGGTTAAAAATTCCTAGGATGCCCTTTCTATGTAGATTTTAACTCTCTGAAGAATTCTTCTTAGTATACTGTCAATTAAGGAAACAGTAACCAAGTTCACTTTCAGGTGCAAAGTCCTAAGTACAGTTGGCACTCTACAGATTTCTTTGCTTTTAAGACATCTGTAAAGACATTTTCTATTATCTTAGAAATCTGATGGCCTATAGCTATTTTACCCTTTTACCAATTAGCTGTGAATGTGATAGTCCATTAGCTTTTTGTCTGTTTCATCTTTGCTTTTCCCACACTATCATTTCAAGCTATTCTCTTTTATTTTAGAGAAACTTTGAACTTACCTTGAAGCAGACGAGTTAGTTTAGAATCTCTGTATGGCACAAAGTTACCCTTTTTGTCATCTCCAAGAGCACTGATTACATTTCCCAAGCACAGAAGTCCTCGGTTAATGTTAATACCTAATAGCAGGAAACAAAATTTAAACTGCTTGGGAAAACATCTAATAAATATCTACATTTTTTTTTCTGAGAAAGAAAAAGACCTCAGAAATATCGCCATCTGTATAAGGAAATGTCTTAATTCTATTCATTCTTCTGAGAGTGGTGCTTCTTAGTAAAGTTCAGGGGACAAAAGTCCACGTTAGGTTTGTACAATTGAGTCCATTGCACTTATCCTTTCTCATGGAAACAAAGCAGAGACAGAAAACAATTGCTATGCCAACCACAACATTAACTTTTTGTATCCAATGTTACAATCCTTAAACTAACACTGTGAAACCAGGTTTACAGCTACTTTAATAATCTTATTATCATTATTTTCACCACCATTCTCAGTTTACAGCTAAGGAAAGCAGTTCAGATGTTACATGGTTTCCCTAAATACAAATAGTAAGTGGTAAGCATGAGATTCCACTTCAGAATTTCAGCCAAATTCCAAAGATCACAATGGAATACCATACTTCTTGTTGCTTTAAAAAGGTAAAGGTTACTTTTCTACTTTATTGTCTAATTTTCTTTTAAAATAGGGTCTCACTCTGTAGGCTGGTCTCCATTCATTGCAATCTCTCCCCCTTAGCATCCCGAGCTGAGCTTTTTTACTTAATTCAAACACTGTCAAAATCTTTGAGGTCTCTCTAAAGCATTTGACTTCTCCCACTGTTACATTTACAGTACAAAGGCTGTACAGGACTCTGGTTGAGTCCATGGGCTTTGGTGTCATGCAAACCTAGATTTCTAATTCTGGTTCTGTTACTGTCATAGGATCATGGGTATTTTCCTCTGTAAAATGAGGCATCTCTACCTACTTTGTTGGGTTGTGGTAGGAATTATATGAGATGCTGTACCTAAAAGAAAATTAAATGTTAGACAAATGATACTTTGGTTTAAATGTTTCAATCTCCTTCAAAATTAATGTTGAAATTTGATCTCCAAAGCAATATTATTAAGAGGTATGATCCAGCAGTGGTGTACACCTTTAATCTTCATGCAGAAGCAGATCTCTGTGAATTCTAGGGCAGCCTGGTCTACATAGTGAGCTCCAGGATAGCTAGGGCTACATAGAGCCACCCAGTTCTAAATAATAATAATAATAATCATAATAATAATAATAATAAAAGTTATGGCTGTGATAATACTGTTTCTACCCTCAGATGGGACAGAACTAGCTAGACCCTTTAGTCTTTCACTATGTGAGGGCACAGACAACATCATCAAACATCAATTCTGATGGTGATATTATCTTGGCATTTATAGATTTCATAAGATACTATTTTCTACTGTTTATGAATTATCCATCCTAAGGTATTTTGTGAAAGTAGTGCAGATGGACTATAAGAACTTGTATCATTACTCTTAGCTCTGCTTAACTTTATACTTATTCAGCCATACTTTGGATTCCCTTATAACCTGAAACAGATATAGTTATATCTGTTTATATATATATTTTATCCAAACTATAATACATTTGGATATAGTCCTCAAAGGCTGTATGTTGAAGGCTTCCTCCATAGTTGGTAGTGCCATTTAAGAGGTGATGATCATGAGAGCCCTGTCTGTATCAATGACGAGTTGATGAGTTCATAGTTGAATGTACTACTAGGAAGCAGGGTCTAGCTGAAGGAAGTAGGTCCCTGGAAGCATGGTTCTGAAAAGTCTATCTTGTCCTTTCCTACTCTGCTGATGCTGCTTTCCAGAGATGAGGTGAACAGGTTTCTTACATCAGTCCTCACCACAATGGTATTAAACCTCACCACAGGCTCAGTGAAGTGCTTAGAGACATCAGTCGGAAACCTTTGAAACCTTGAGTCAAAAGATAGCTTTCTTCCTCTAAGTCAACTTTCTCAAGATGTTCTGTTCATGATGAAAAGCTCCAAACTCCTCATTGATTACGTCTTTCATGGGCCCTGTTTTCTCCCTTCTTGTGACTATCAATTTGTCATTAATATCTTAAGATTAAGCTTCTTGGGGGCATTAAACTTCCTATTCTGAATTCTATGACCAATCATTTCACAGTTTTGTGCTCCCAAGAACTCAATGCACCTATGACCTACTGTTTCCACGATAGGCTGATAGGCTTATTTTTCTCCCCATACTGAAATAGAACCTTTGGCTACCACACATGCTAGGAAAGTGTCTTACCCACCCAGCCCCTCCCACCATAGGTAGGGTGTGTGTGTGTGTGTGTGTGTGTGTGTGTGTGTGTGTCTGTCTGTCTGTCTGTGTGTGTGTGTGTGTGTGTGTGTGTGTGTGTGCCTGTCTGTCTGTCTCTCCCTGCAGGGTACAATGCTGAAGGAATAATATAACCAAATGGGTTGAATCCATTACAACTATGCTATTGACCTTAATTGAATCTGTGGTCGATTGATGATCCTGCTTGCCTAACTTAACTGACATGGCAGCTATTCCAAGCATTCATCATTTTCACTATTACAAAGCTACCTTCGTTCTCTGTTAGTAGATAATGTTATACACCAAGGCTCCCTAACCCTTGTCTTCTCTGTGCTCTTTACTTTGCTGTTATTTATTCCTTTGTCTTTCCACTTGCTTCAGTGGAAATAACTACTGTTATTATGAAGCTTCTGCCCTTTACTTCTGTCCATATTTCTGATCCCTTTATTTCATCTGAGACCCAGATGCTTTGATCTATTTTCTCATTCTTAGACCTTCAGTTAATTTTCCCACTAATTCCTTCTTTTCAATCTATATACATGCTTACATTTCCCTCATTTACATCAAAAATAGTATTCTTAAGCAATCAATCCATTTTCTTTTTATTGCCAGTTAGAAAATGCAGCATTTTGCAGAGCATTTTTTTCACCCATGAAGAACCTGCTGATATGTATCAAATCTGCCTGTAGTACAGGGAACTAATCCCCACATTAACCCTCTGCTTTCTATTTAATTTTATCATTAAGACATAAAAATGGAGCCTGCGGTGGTGATGCATACCTTTAGTCTCAGTACTTGGGAGACAGAGGCAGGCGGATCTTAGAGTTCCAGAACAGCCAGAATTACAAAGAAAATCCCTGTCAAGATATTACGATGGTAAATTCTTGGCAAGGGTGGTGCAAACAATGTTTGCAGAGCCTTAAAATTTCTAGTCAAGGTGGCTTAAGAGATAGCTCAGCACTTACAAGCACTTGTTGCTCTTGCAGGACCTGGATTCGGCTCACAATTATCCATTCCTCCAGTTCCAGAGGATATGAGCACCAGGCATACACACGGTACAAATACATACACGCAGGCAAAATACCAATATGCATAAAATCAATAAATCTTTTAAAATGCTGTGATCAAAGATGGTTACAAAAAATTGTCCCAATGAAATTATGTGCTGAGAAGTTCTTTTAAAACTCTGTAAGACTGAAAAGAGACCGAACAATAGGAAAGTTGAGAATATCATCCACTATCATTGAGTGCTTATCCATTATGGCAAGAAATAAATAATAATAAATAACAGAAATACAACCTTAAAGCTACCACAGAGGCACATCACGGCAGCTGAAAGACAAGGGAACATTTGTGGAGGGAAGAGCCTGAGTGGGGGGGAAATGAAGCAGCTCTATATGCAGTGGTTCTCAACTAGGCAATCCTGCATGTTACTGGACAGTTACTGGAGATAGTTATTGTCACAACTTGGGGTGAGAGCTGTACAAGCTACTTGTTTCTAAAAGATAGAGGCTAAGAATGCTGGTAAGCATCCTACAATGTACAAGATAGCCCTCCACCAAAGTTATTTAATTCAAAATGTCAATAGCACAAGTGAGAAATCCTGGTTAACAGGATATAAGGCAGGTAGACTGGCTGAGTAAGTTTCTGGGAAAGACTTTAGCAATAGTATAATACGGCTGTGTTCTCCAGTCAAAAAGGAATGGAATAATCTGTTACCAAAACAGATTTTAAAAGTTACATAGGGCTTGGGATGTAACTCATTTGGTAGAATGCCTGTCTAGCATGCACTGCAGGAAGTCCTGGGTTCCACACACACAACTGTATAAACCATGGTGGTAAACACCTGTAATCTCAGCACTAGAAAGTAGAGGCAGGAGGGTGAAGAGTTGAAAGTAATCTTGGCTACACAGCAAGTTCAAGGCCAGCCTGAGATATGTGTGTTTTGTTTGTTTTTCAAGACAAGGTTTCTCTGTATTGTTTTGGAGGCTGTCCTGGAACTCGCTCTATAGACCAGGCTGGCCTCGAACTCAGAGATCCATGGGCCTCTGCCTCCCAAGTGCTGGGATTAAAGGCGTGCACTACCAACGCCTGGCTGATATGTGTGGTTTTTAAAACAACAACATAAACAAGTAAAAAGCCTTACAGAGGTAACCACTCAAAAGAGATAAAGTGAGAAGAGCCCTTGATTAAGAGACAGAAGACCTTAGCTGAAACTTGACCTCAGTCTCTTACCAACATGACACAGATTTTCTTTTCTCCATAAAACAAGGGCAAATCTTTCCTTAAATCATGAGACTATGATAAAAATAAAATGTTATCTATTGAGAGCCATATAAAGGATAGAGAACCTTAGACAATCTGGCTATTTGCTAAGTCACATTAGGCTGGAACCCCTTATCTACTCTGATGACAATTACTTTTCCCAGAAGAAACTATGACTGATTACACAAGTGGCTGCTGTTGCTTTCAAGTTAATACAGAAGGAATAACTGATTCTAGAAGTGGAATGATACAAATCTGGTTACAGGAGGCCAAGGAACATAGACGACTGTCAGTAACCAGGACTTCATAAAAATAATCCCTAAAATTCAGGAAAGAATGATATTTAAGATGCTGATGCTATGTAGTGCAAACGGAAATGAAAGGGAGGCTTTTCAAAAAAGAAAATTCAGGCTAGCAAGATACTTCAGTGGGTTAGGGTGCATGCTTCCAAGGCTGGCAACCTGAATTCCATTCCCCAAACCTACATGATAGAGAGAACTGACACACACAAGTTGTCCTCTGATCAC